TTTGTGTAAAATAGTGGTCCTATAAAATTAAGAATTTGCCAAGGAAGTTTTTAAGCAAAAATTGGGGAGCCTCACAATCTCGGTTCAACACTTGAATCCTCAGCCAATGAACAGAACTTTTATGGATTTGTTTGCTTTCTCTCACACTGTTTCTGTACAAGGATTCATTCATTTATGGGATAACTACTTATCGTGTACCCAGTACTCTGTGCTGGGTGCTGGAGCTTCTGCAGTAAATAGAATTGGTATGGTCCCTGCCCTTGTGGAACTAACGGTGTAGTAGGGGAGGCAGCGTGCGTGTTAAGTTGCTTCAGTTATGTCTATTTGCAATCCTGTGGGCTGTAGCCCACCAGGCTCCTCTGTCCATGGGATTCTCCAGGCAAGAAAACTAGGGGTTGCTGTGCCCTCCTCCAAGGAATCTTCCGGACCCAGGGATCAAACCAGCATCTCCTTCATTGCAGGCAGATTCTCTGCTGTTGAGCCACTGGGGAAGCCTGGGGGGTGGGGTGGGGGGCAGAAATTAAGCAAAAATGATACAAATATATGGTTATAAATAATGGCAAATGCTTTGAATAAAAAAATAAAAGTTATGATAAGAAACAATAGGGGTATTTAATTTCAGTTGCCATGTCAAGGAAACAGTTTTAAAACTATAACCTGAAGGATAAATAGAAGTTACTTAGTCAAAGAGCATTCCAGACAAAGGAAATGGAAACTGGAAAGAGCTTGGCATGTTAAAACTAAAAGAGAGCCAAGTGACCAGACCACAGTAAGCAGGGTTTCCAGAAGAGTGTCTTGCAGTGAACCTGGAAAGGTAGGAAGGGGCCAAATGATGCAGGGGCTGAGAAAGAAATCAAGGATCTCTACCTTAAAAGCCATAGGCAAGTATTGAAAGATTTAAGTAGGGGAGTGAAATTACTTCATTTACAGTTTTTAAGGATGACTCCGCTTAAAAGATAGAGAAAGCTGAAAAAAAAAAAAAAAGCTGGTTCACATTGACAAAAAAATTTTCAACATTATTTGGGTTTATAAATCTCAGATTTCTTTTGTTTTATATTTTGATAGTTTGTATTATAATTGACATGGGATTCAGAAAACACAGAATGGTTTGCAACTTTAAAAAAATCACACTGGCTACTATGTTTAGGATGAATTGTATGGGATCAAGGACAAAATAGAGAGGCCTGCTTAATTACTGCAATTGTCTGGGTGGCTTGGATAGAGAGTCAGTGGATTTGAAGACAGAGTCAATGGATGGATCTGAGACACAGTTTAGGGGCAGAATCAGTAAAATCTGATAATGACTTTCATGTTGGGGGCTAGTGAGGGGAAGTTATCAAGGATGGCTTCTAGGTTCTGATCTGCATCATTGAGTAGATGGGTGTTGGAGGCTGAAGGAAACAAAAAGTACTCATTGAATTGAGAAGGCATTTTGAGACCAATAAAGAAGGCAGGCAGCTCCATATAATCAATGGATCAGTTTATTAGAGAGTAACTTACTCTCAGGCTTCCCTGGTGTCTCAGCAGTTAACAATACGCCTGCCAAAGCAGGAGATGTGGGTCAGGAAGATCCCCTCAAGAAGGAAATGACTGCCTACTCCAGTATTCTTGCCTGGAAATTCCCATGGACAGAGGAGCCTGGTGGGCTACAGTGCATGGGGTCGCAAAAGAGTCAGACATGACTGAGCATCCAAACAACAACAACTTACTCTCAGGGTAGCATCAGGCAGACTACAACCCAGAAGCATTCGCAGCTGCACTCTGCAGCATCGTGGAGGCAACTGGTACAGTTCTGCAGTTAACCTAGAGGGTGGGAGTTGGTGCTTGGGAAAAGGACTTGTGTTCCTAAGTCAATATTTATGAATGGGTTCTAATCTATGGACACTAGGCATATACATCAGCAAAGGTTTTCATCATTGTTTGGGGACTAACAGAGCATAGGGGCTACCTGGTCCTGATGATTATTAAACAGTATCTATTATTTACAAAGCCCTTGACAATGGAGAAGTGATGTACTGGACATTACAGTCCTGGGTAGGGTCAGCAGAAGGACAGGAGAAACTCTAAGGGCCCGAGATGGTGTCAGTAAGGCTCACAGCCATACACTGGGGGCAGTGGCGAATTGCTCAGGGAAGGGCAGCATTGGGGGAGAGGAAATTAGCAGGTATATTGTTCAACTTTGGAATGGTGTATGGCAATATTAAGGAAGAGTTGGATATTTAGATTTGAAATTCAATATATATATATATAATTTTTAGAGTAATAAGCATTTATTATGGTAAGGAATGCCATAGAAATGGGTAGAATTGCCTTTAAGGGAGTGTAGATTGAGAAAAGGGCTCAGGACTGGTATCCTAACCTTGTCTCTACCCTCTAAGGCTAGCATTTGGAGATCTAGAAGAGAAAGAGGAAGTGTGTGAAGGACATCAAAAAAGGATCAGTCAGGATGAAAGCTGGGAGAATGTGGTATTACTATAGATAAAAGTCTTTTAAGAAGTTCTTTGGGAAATTTTCTGTTTTATGTCCCTGTTGCATCTTACAGCCATGCAATAATTTTTACTAGTGTTCTGCTCTGGGAAATGTCTGCCAGCACTGGTTAGTTAGTAACACGGCACAGTCCATGTGCCACGGAATACTAAAGAGTAGGAATTTTAATGTATCTAAACACAAATTTTGTGAAACAGCTTTATTTGGGAATTAAGAGAAAGGAGCAAGTGTTTTCAGATTTATTTTCTTTAACATTCTGTTCACTTGTGTTCACTATAAATATTTAAAGGGTACTAGTATATAGAGCAGAGAAGGCAATGGCACCCCACTCCAGTACTCTTGCCTGGAGAATCCCATGGACAGAGGAGCCTGGTGGACTGCAGTCCATGGGTTCGTGAAGAGTCGGACACAACTGAGCGACTTCACTTTCACTTTTCACTTCCATGCATTGGAGAAGGAAATGGCAACCCACTCCATTGTTCTTGCCTGGAGAATCCCAGGGACAGCGGAGCCTGGTGGGCTGCCGTCTATGGGGTCGCATAGAGTTGGACACGACTGAAGTGACTTAGCAGCAGCAGTATATAGAGGCATTCTCATATATTTTGAAACTTCTGGGGAAAAAAGAAAAGACAAATACCCATTCCCTGTCAATCCATAGAGTGGACATGGGAAATGAAGAAATCTCAAATACGTTATGTGAAATGTTCACAAAGTAAATCCAGATTTTAAGAAAAGAATTGGCTCTATATGGAAGAGATTATCAAGCTACTTAAATTATGTTTTTACTTTTCTGTATGGTTCACATTGATACCAGTAGAGCTTCTTGCAGAGATGGAGGTATTCTCTGTTGCCCAGTACTTTAGACCCTTAGCCACACGTGGCCTTTGGCCCCTTGACCCCGTGAAATGAGGCTAGTGGGGTGGAGGAACTGAATTTCTAGTTGAATAGCCACACGTAACTGTTGGCTGCCATATTGGACAACACAGGAAAAATTTCATACCAGTCACAACAGGAGACAGGATTTAATTACTGGGTAGATAGGGGCTCTTCGGTGTGGACTGGACACCTTCCCTCTGTACTTTAGGCATTTCTGCTCTCTTCACTTTTCCAGCCCCTCCCACAGCCATGTTGTTTCTTCCCCTCTGCTCTGATTTTTCTTCAGTGAAAGCATGTTTAATACAAAGTAGAATCATCGCACTTGCTTTCTCCAGGAACCATGTTATTGGAGTAACAGCCATTTTTAGCTGAACTGCAGTGTAGTGTTGCCTAACAAAATATGGTGTAATCAAATTATAGTATAAAATGAAGCCCACTGGTAATTACCTTTATAACCTTCCTTTTTCAGTGTTCCCTGGGGCCTTTCCTCCTCATGACTCACTTGTTCAGCCACAGACCATTCTTTCTAGAATCAGTTTCCTAATCCTAGTGTGATCTGTGGTCTCACATAGGCCAAAATTAGTCTTACCCAAACTTATAATTTTCTTTTGCATTTATTTTTGTCCTCTTCCATGTCTTCAGCTTTCATTGATTCACCTGTCTCCCTGAACTAGAAGGAACTTTTTATGGAAGAAAAAAGAATGGAAATAGATCCAGACTAGTGGAATGTGGCTGATTTTATCCTCTGACAATTGAGAGAAATCTGATCTTAGGGACAAATATTTATTTCATTTTTTCTTTAATACCATTGGAGTGGCAGAAGTACTGTTCCCTTTGTTTCCTTTTATAAATTTCTAAGTAATAATGGACCTTGACTGCATTAGAAGAAACACTCACATTGCTTGTTACACTTGTTTACAGTTATAAAATTCCATTGTTTCATGGTAAACATGGATATATAGTATCATTGTTTTAAAGATATTTTATGTATATCTGAGTCTTACTTAAAATATGTCTGAAGTTGTTAAGGACATCTCTCTATAATACTGGCCCACTTCCCTTTGTAATCAGGAGTACTATTTCAAGATTATTGGCTGTTTGTGGTCTGTGCCCTTGGAATAGAATGGAATTAAATGGCCACGGGGGTATTAAGCTATGAGGTTGGGATTCTTCACACCATTAATGTGTTTTGGTTAAGTATTAGTCCTAGTCAGAAAAGAGCATTGCATGTATCATGGTTGGTTAAAGCTATTCCCCAAGGTATTTTTAATCTTAAGTACTAGTCATTTGGTATCAACCTTCCCATTTAGGATTGATAATGCATCACACTTTCATGGTATCTTGAGGCTGATGCTTCTTTATTCTCAAGAGCTTTTTGCATTAAAAAATTAGCAACAGAAACAAACCATGACTCATGGTTTAAATGCCTAAGTAGTGCCATAACTCTCTGTAATTGCTTGTCCATAGGAGAATGTTTTGAAATGTGAAACCACATTCTTACTTGATACTTTCTGTACAAGTGGCTTGTTTTCTCTTGTTACCCCCTGGCCCGCCTTTGTTAAAGCATGCCTCCCCCAGGAATAACCAGTCACTGTCATGCCTATAGATTAAATCTTCTTTGGCTTACAATTATCTAGATGTTTCAGAAAGAACAGGTGGATCCTCTTCAGATGAAACTGCAACAGGTGAATGGACTTGGCCAGGGCTTGATTCAGAGTGCTGGAAAAAACTGTGATGTACAGGGTTTGGAACATGACATGGAAGAGATCAACGCTCGGTGGAACACACTAAATAAAAAGGTGAGTGAACGGAGGGCATAGAAAAAAGATACGGCAATTTCAGGTTTCCATGGCACCTGAATGCAAATAAAACTTTAGCAGTTCCAACCTGGAGTAACAAAAAGGGATGAGAAGTCATTTCAGAACTCTCCCCTTTCTCCTCCATGTCTGTGAAACAGGTTGCACAGAGAATCGCACAACTGCAAGAGGCTTTGTTGCATTGTGGGAAGTTCCAAGATGCCTTGGAGCCATTGCTCAGCTGGTTGGCAGACACTGAAGAGCTCATAGCCAATCAGAAGCCTCCATCTGCTGAGTATAAAGTGGTGAAAGCCCAGATCCAAGAACAGAAGGTAAGTGAGAATGTTGGGGCAGTGAACTGTAACAGCCGAAGGGAATGACAGACAACACAATTTGTTTATAGTTTCAGGAACACCGTTAGGAGTTTAGTAGAATCCTAACCTACCTTGTGTGATCCAGAAAAGAAAGATGGAAATTGATTTTTATCACCTTTGTAATCTCTTAGTTTACCATGCCATATGTTGAACTGAGCAGTTTTGCTTGTTCACTTATCCTGTTTCAGTGTTTGTCACCACTTTATCTTAGGAGATTTTGAGGGTTTTTAGGGTCAGCAATATTCTAACTAATGTTGTATATCATGTATAAGGTTCCCTCTGGTTCCCTCCTTGGTTTAATTTCCATTTCAGTTCCTTCTTTTCTTGGTTCAAATTAAATTCCTTTTCAGTCACATAATGACAGTCACCACTCCATTTAAAAACCTGAGTGTAGGAAAAGTTTATATGAGTGGTAGGAATTATATCTCATGTTTTTGCCTCAGGTTGGGGGGAAAAAAAAAACTTCCCTGTTCAGTTAAACTTAGGGCTCAGTGAGGTGAGGTTTTTGGATTTTGTATGTTTTCCTTGTTTCAGATTTTAAAGTGACCCCATGTTATCACTTTTCATTCTCTTTAAACATGTACATCAGTTGCTCCAGAGGCTACTAGATGATCGAAAGGCCACAGTAGACATGCTTCAAGCAGAAGGAGGCAGAATAGCACAGTCAGCTGAGCTGGCTGATAGAGAGAAGATCACTGGACAGTTGGAGAGTCTTGAAAGTAGATGGACTGGACTACTCAGCAAGGCAGCAGCCAGGTAAAGCCGAGGGGCTTTTGAGGGAGAAGTCAGAGACGGTTTCTGATTTGTGTCTCTCAGATGCTGTAAGAGCCCCCAGATGACTCTCATGGAGCTCTGGAGGTGTTTAAAGGCTTTTACCTTGAAGAGGGATAAGTTTTTAGAGATGATCCTCATAACCAGAGTGACTCTCAGGAAATGAGCCTCAGCTCTTCCGTAAGGTTCTGAGAGCTGGGAGACTCAGTGCTCTGTGGTGGTGTTCAGTTGCAATATAATCATGCTTCCAAATGACAGACGTGGACTCCTATAATCCAGCCAAGTAATTTTCTGAGTTTTGGAAACAGATTTCTTTTTTTTTCCCATTAATATTTATAAATAATGTTTTTGATACTTGGAATTGAAATGTATCAAAAAAAGAAAAAAGAAATGTATCATGTTTATTTTCTGTTAACTTATCCCAGTATTAGATGTTCCTACATCTAGGAGCTAGCCTGTGGTTCTATTAAATGAACATTCAAGAGTTGCATGGACTGTCTTCACCAGAAGCTGCAGGCAGGCAGTGTACTTCTCCTCCACGGAGGTGCTTTCTTTCTCTTTCCATAGCTATCAGTTAGTCCAGTGTCACTTGATCTTAATAAGACACACTGGGTCTTTACTTTCAGCTGATACTGTTCCCAGTTTTAAAAGTAAATGATAATGAATCAGAAATGAGTATGAGAGTCACAGAGTTGATCACTCATTGTCTAGGTAGCTATGGGTAGTCTTCAGATAACCCCCTCTTCAGTCTCTTTACTTCTACCTGTCCGTGGCTTGCTTGTTTCTCATCTGAGCTACAGAGTATTTACTTGCCCTATGTTAGTAGGAGAAACAAAAGAAAGAATTCAACTTACTTTCATATCCAAATTGCACTGTGTTATTTCTTCTCTCTTTCCATCCATTTCCAGTAATAGTACCATTGACCCTCCAACTGCCTGGGTTTAAAACCTCAGCCTCATTCTCTTTTTACCATTTTTTCCCCTCCCCTGCTTAGTGTCATATCTATCAGGATACTAAATTCTGTCTGTTTTACATCTGCAGTATCTTTCCTCTCCATCCATTTCTGATTCCCACTTACTTACCTCAGTTCATGACTTACGAGCTCTCCCTTGGGCTCGTTCCCATGAGGTAGCTCGTCTGAGGGCAGCCTCCTAACTAGCTAACCTTAACCACTCTCCTGCTGCTTCCCCTCAGGCCTTCCCTCTGCACAGTCAGAGACATCTGTTGACTGCCTGTTGCCTATAAAATAAAGCGTCTCTAACCCACCTTAGTTTCTGCTATTCTTCTCATTTCTTATGGTCAAAGTAAACCACGTTCAGTTCTTCAGTGTCTTCTGTCAGTTTCCTAACTCGGTCTTTGCTGACGGTGTTCCATCTTCCATGAAAGACTTTTGTTCCTCTCCCCTGCTCTTATGAAGCTTTTTTTTATTCCCAAGCATAGGATAGTTTCATCTTCCTCTTAACTTCCCTAGCTCTTCATGTGTACCTTGTATTAAGGTCATTATTTTTTTGTGCTTACCTCCTAGGTCCTTAAGCTGACTAAAGTCATGATTGTTCCTAATGTATCTATTTATGATTCTTTTCTTCTATCCTACTTGCTTCCATGCTCCAAACAGTTTCTGGACCAGTGTTTTAAAGAGAAATACCAAGAGCAGCATCATTTGTTAAGGCATCCTAAAGAATTCTGTTTAGGTTCTTTAATATTGGGTTTTTGATGCCTCCAGATTATTTTAGCTCTTCTCTTTTCTACCTCAAATCCTCTTACAGTGATTTCTTCAGACTTTCAGATCCTGGAATAATAGATGAGTCAGAAAGGCCTAGAAGTCTAGGACCGTTCTTTAAGAATTAAATTTTTAAACTTTAAAATTTGGAAAAAAATAGACACATGTATATGTATAACTGAATCACTTTGCTGTAAACCTGGTAAAACTAACATTAATTTTATTAATCAGCTGTACTCCAATATAAAATAAAAAATGTTTTTAAAAGTTTAAAGCAAAAAGAGTAAAATCTTTAAGCAGGTCATTAACCAATGAAAATAATCCACCAAGCAATTTATTTAAGGTTATATTTTATGTTTTAGTTTTTAGTTATATTGATTGAAGATATAGTTTGAAGGTTGACATAAACTAAGAAAGGAAATTCTGTAGTTTATATTGACATTTAAAAATAGCATCTAGAAATACATTTTTCTTTATACTCAAACATTACATTTCCAGATAATTCAAATGGCAGGTCTTTATATTAAATCATTTATTATTAATATAAATTTGTCCAGAGTACCCTGCATAGGACCAGGCACAAAGCAGATGTTTAGTAAAGATTTACTGAAATAAAAGTACATCCCGTCACCCAGCCCCTTTTCAAATAACACAGCACTTAGTCTGATCTTAATGGTCCAGAGTCATTGTTATGGCCTTTTGATGGTTACTCTGTGTTCTAATATAGTTCTATGGTTGTGTTTGTGTCTTTTGCTTCTTCGGCTACCTTCAGCATTCAGGCTTCCCCTCTCCTTTGTAATTGGCTGATTTTAATCTACAGGATATTTGAAGTCCACACTTAGTGTGGCTGTTATGTTAAATAAGATTTAAGATTCCAGATTCAAGATTCCAGTTATAAAGTATATAGTTCTTTTGGCTGCCATTTCCTTTAACAAATTCATCTAGTTTGAGGTTATTTTTTTGTCTTAAATCAGAATTCAAAGTTATGCTCTGAGTCTTGAAATTACTAGAAGCCTGACTGATTTAGGGGTGATGGGAAGAAAGTTCTTGTTCATAGCTTGATCTACTTGTGCTCTCAAATACTGTCTTTTCTCTTCATCATACGTGAAGATAACCATGACAGGGAAAAGAGAAATGAAGACTGATGGATTTTTTACTCCTTTAAATATTATTTTGGTCACATGTACAGAGGATGCACATGCTTCATCCCATAGGAGAAAGAGTAGTAGAAGGTCTGATTCTAATTCTCACTGTACCATTGCTACCCTGTGGGCGATCTGGCCAGATCTTTCTTAAAGCCTTCAGGCTTGGTTTTCTCTTTTATAATAGTGGCATAATGTTGCCTACCGTACAAGGTCATGATAGAACCTAAATAAGGTACTGCTTGTGAAAGCCTTTAAAACAGCAGGGTGCTGTTTTCTGTGTGTCCTGTTTGCTATTGATATTTCAAATGTGCCTGGTTAAGATTGGTCTTTTACTGAATATAGTACTGTTAACAGTTTTAATGTGACTTTTTGCCTGAGCAGCTTGTTCTATATATTCGTGTAGGCAGAAACAGCTGGAAGATATCCTGGTTCTGGCCAAACAATTCCATGAGACAGCTGAGCCTATTTCTGACTTCTTATCTGTCACAGAGAAAAAGCTCGCCAACTCAGAACCTGTTGGCACCCAGACTGCTAAAATACAGCAGCAGATCATTCGGCACAAGGTAGGAAGTAGTCACAGTAAATGAAAACACAAAACTGGAATCAGAGATCCTAGAAAACTTCCTGCAGCATTCTAAAAGATGTATTTTGTGGGGGTTTTTCTTAATAAGTTTTAATTTAAAATACGGTCCAGTTATTAATTGGACTAGTCACATTCTTCAAGTAAAAATAGAAATGGACTTATAGGCTACCATCAGAAAAAACAGCTTTTTGTTCTCCGTTTTTATGTTATTTTTACCCTTCTGTAGGTAAACATATATTATTATTTATTATATAATTTGTGATTCATTTTCTCATGTTTACTTTTCATTTATTTTGTTTCTGTTATTCATTTTTTCCATCTGGATTTCCAGGCTCTGGAGGAAGAAATAGAAAGCCATGCAACAGATGTGCACCAGGCAGTCACAGTTGGGCAGTCCCTCTCCTCCCTGACAAGTCCCGCAGAGCAGGGTGTGCTGTCAGAAAGGCTAGACTCGTTGCAGGCCCGATTCAGTGAGATTCAAGACCGGTGCTGTCGGAAAGCAGCCCTGCTTGAACAAGCACTGTCTAACGCTAGGCTCTTCGGGGAGGATGAGGTGGAGGTGCTCAACTGGCTGGCCGAGGTTGAGGACAAGCTCAGTTCAGTGTTCGTAAAGGATTACAGACAGGATGTCCTGGAGAAGCAGCATGCTGACCACCTGGTATTCATACTTTCCATTCTTATTGGTTATGTTACTAAGTTATTTTGTCATTTTAATTCATGTTTGTCTTCATTTCTCTCTCTCTCGCTCCCCCCCTTTTTTTTTAATTCCAAACATTTTAAGTTTATTTTATACACAAGTGCTTAGTTACAGACTTGTTGCTAAGGACTAATCTATTTTTTGATGAGTCCATGGAAATACTTATACTTAACAAACCGGATCATTAATTCTAGAAGGTGATCCAGAGTGTAATCAGGGGCCATCTCAATTCCAATTCATGTTTTACACCACTCGGAAATGTATCATTCAGCTACCACTTGAGCAGTTATGCAGAGGAGTATGTACTTTAACAAAGTGTTAGTCGCTCAGTCATGTCCAACCCTCTGCAACCCCGTGGACTGTAGCCTGCCAGACTCCTCTGTTGATAGACTTCTCCAGGCAAGAATACTAGAGTGGGTTGCCGTTTCCTCCTCCAGGGGATCTTCCTTACCCAGGGATCAAACCCAGGTCTCCTGCACTGCAGGCAGATTCTTTACCATCTGAGCTACCAGGGATGCCCAAACTTTAAGAAAACCAGATTACTTAACAGTGCTCAGGGTTTGATCATTTAGTGGTAACTTTTTAAATGTTTCTAGAATTTATGTGCTTGAAGTACAGGGATTCTGGGTCATCTTAGTAGAAACAACAATTTGCCCTTTTTGTTTTATTTTTAGGGAATTTCTTTGGAAATGGTAAAATCAGCAAAGCGATTTTGTTTGTTTTATTAATAATCTTAGATTCTTCTACTTCATTGACTTCAGATACTGAGAGTCTTTAACTAAGATTCTGATTTAAGTTGGCCTGTTCTTGCTGATTTTCTTTTCTTGAACTTTATGCCTTATCCTTTGTTTTGGACATATTAGACATTCTCGATGAATTCTGCTTCTACCTTTCTTGGGTTCAGGTTTGGTACCAATAGGTTAGTAAAGCGGATTAAGTCCTAAATCTCTTCTCATCAAAAGAAAACTTGCCTATAAGTATCTGATTTCATTGTTTTGGGTAACTAAAGTGAAAGTGAAGTCGCTCAGTCATGTCTGACTCTTTACGACCCCATGGACTGTAGCCCACCAGGCTCCTCCGTCCGTGGGATTCTCCAGGCAAGAATACTGGAGTGGGTTGCCATTTTCTTCTCCATTGAGTAATTAAAGGGGTAACCAAAGAGAAAACGAAGGAATCAAATATCTCATATTTAAACTGATGTTCATCTCTACTTTAAATTTGGTCTCTTAAGGGGCTCGCATTTCTTCCACTTTGTTGTGTTATAGTTTTAGGATTAATGGTGTTCTTTCCTTTCAGGCTTTAAATGAAGAAATTGTTAATAGAAAGAAGAATGTAGATCAAGCTATTAAAAACGGTCAGGCTCTTCTAAAACAAACCACAGGTACTTTGAAAAGTGCATCTCTTAGCGCCTGGTCATACAGACATTAATCAGCACCCTGCACTAGCCACTTCTCTTTTTAGATAGGAGGAGCTTAATACTCACTGATTGTATTACCATGTGCTTCCAGGCAACTGGGGCTTGGGTTCCTATTTCCTGCTAAATCTGTTATTGAAACACTGTGTTGTCTCAGATCTGGTTATAGATGAAAACTCTCCCTGCCCTCCAATATGTTGAATACCAGCATTTACTGAAAGATGCTGAAAGTGTCTTGAAAAACCTGCAGTCAAACTCAGATCCTAATAATCTCGGAAGTTGTCTCTTTTATTGATTGAAGGTTTCTTTCCCACTTCCCTTGGTGTGGGACGCTAGGTGAAATCGCTGCCGTAGGGAGAGAGTACCCATAAAAGTTACGCTCTGACTTGAATAAAGAGAGGTTAAAAGGGCTGCCTTGTAGCCTATTAGACGTGAATAAACTGTGTGCTCTCTCCCACAGGTGAAGAGGTATTGCTCATTCAAGAGAAGCTGGATGGCATCAAGACTCGCTATGCAGACATCACAGTCACCAGCTCCAAGGCCCTCAGAACCTTAGAGCAAGCCCGGCAGCTGGCCACCAAGTTCCAGTCTACATATGAGGAACTGAGCGGCTGGCTGAGGGAGGCAGAGGAGGAGCTAGCAGCCAGCGGAGGACAGTCCCCCACAGGGGAACAAATACCCCGGTTTCAGCAGAGACAGAAGGCGAGCTGACATCCCACACTGTAAAGGGGAAGAATTTCTCTCTCAGAATCCTGGAGTTTTCTCCAACTCTCTTTACCCGAAATCTAAACCAAAAATTTCTCTCTGCCTCGTTTTCTGTTTATTTGTGGAAAATAAGTTTTGACATAAGGACAGGCCTATATAAGAGCTCTTGTCATGGTCTGAAGAAGAAAAAAGATTGAATCTGAACACCCTATGAAGCTTGCTTCATATGGAACATTTTAGGACTTACTGTCATACTTTACTCTCTAAAAGAGTACCTCATAGTCATCTCTGATTCTCCTGCAGTACCTTGTGCAGTTCTAGATGCACAAAAATACGGTGCATTTGTTGAATTAAATAAATGCCTATGATTAAAGCATTATTGTATCATTTCTATTGAAGTAAGGAGAAAAAAAAACAAGAAACACCATTCATGTTACCCAGAGACAGCCTGGCCTGAAAAGTCTTGCTGACAGTTCTAAGCAGCTGAGCCTAAAGTCAGGCCATGGAGTGACTGAAAAATCTGAGACAAGAAAAAAATAAGTGAAGGAAGGAGGTCAGAGCCCTGCTGGGATGTGTGGTAGAGAGAGCATTTTCCACCCAGCACAGCTGCTAATGTCCTTAATTTAGCAAGAGATGGCCTGAAAACTTTTTTTCCCTCTTTAGGAACTAAAGAAGGAGGTCATGGAGCACAGGCTGATGTTGGACACAGTGAATGAGGTGAGCCGTGCTCTCTTAGAGCTGGTGCCCTGGAGAGCCAGAGAAGGGCTGGATAAACTTGTGTCCGACGCCAACGAGCAGTACAAGCTGGTCAGTGACACTGTTGGACAAAGGGTGGATGAAATTGATGCTGCTATTCAGAGATCACAACAGGTAATCTTTAAAAACACCCCTGCATTAATATTTTAGGCAGCAGGGATATATATATGGGAAGTACAAAACTATGACCCACATACATACAGTTTCAGGAATAGGAATAAAGGAGATAAAGCTAAATCTGATGCAACAAATTATCTCAGTGGTAGGAAGTGGTTCAGTAAAGTTATGTGAGGGTGGATCTAGGTTTGACTGAAGATACATGACCCCTTTGAGGAGAAAAGAACTTGGAAAAGAGAGTGTGTGGGCCCTTCCCTTGTTGATGCCTGGTTAGAGGCAGATGGTGATGGGGGTAGATAATATCTAGACTGAAAAGGTCTAAATGCATCAGTCTTAGTTTGACATAATCAACTGTTTCAGCATTAGATGGAAGAGGGACAGAACCAAGAACTATAATTACTAGCAAATATGCTAACCAAAATAGCAGAGCCATCCAAAATAGAACCCTCCCAGTAAACACAGGTGTCGTGTTTCCCTCAATCATTTTTCCTTCCTGCTTTCTGGGAAAAGTTATTTGTTTTTCTTTGTAGGTGGATATGCACCTATTAATGGCACATATTAATGTGCCATGGTACAAAAAATAATATAACATGACCCCTTGGGTTCATGGTGATAATAGATGCTTTCTGAACCCCACAGAAGTTTGTTTTGTCTCCAAATCTTGGCCAGATATTTCAGTATGAGATTTATCACACTTGGGAACTTTTCTTTAAATATTAGTATAATTTGACAACATTGATAAGAGGTAAAAGATTGAGGGGCCCTTATTAAACAATGATCACATAGAACATGTTCTTTTGTTGTTCATGTCATTGTGTATGACATGTCGTTGTGTACTGCATTCCATTTAAATGTTTGCTGTTCTTCTGGGGTCTTACACTTCTTCAGCTAAGCGGGTACTTCCAAGTTAACTTGACTCAGCTATCTGCTGCCATGTTAAGTTTGTAGTTAAACGTATGACTACTGCTGTGGATAGGAAAAAAGATTGGCAGAAAGAGAGCAGAGCCTCATAAAAGTACTCTCATTAGAAAGTGTATTTCTTTTGAAGAGTCTTAGTTTCCATTGTTATTTCTAGCTATGGGACCATTGACTGGGTTCTGTAATGTCTTTCCAAAAAAGTTGAAATAGGATCAACTCATATTTGTTGAAGTATAATCAATGCTAAATTGTCTGCATCTTGAATTTGTGACTTTTATGAAGTTCTCACCAATTTGGGCTTTATTTTGTGAGATGTAAACTGCATTACTGAAAATCTAGGCCTTTCTGTGTTGAATAAGTTAGAATTCTTAGAAGGAAGACACTGGCTGTAATATGTCCATTATTCTCCAATGTGTCTGTCAGTATGAGCAAGCTGCTGATGCAGAGCTAGCTTGGGTTGCTGAAACAAAACGGAAACTGATGGCCCTGGGTCCAATTCGCCTGGAACAGGACCAGACCACAGCTCAGCTGCAGGTGCAGAAGGTGAGTCACTGGCACAGTCACTTCGTTCTGAGCTAGAAGAATCATCAGTCACTTGGAGTGACTAGCACAGAGTTTCTGGCTATCTCAAGTCAAGTAGAATGATTTAGAGTTATGATGGTGGATAGAGACGTAATATTATAAATATTTGGTTAGGATGAAGAAGGGATTTTTTGCTTTGTGAAAAGGGAGAAATAAGTCTGTTAATCCAGGAAAGAATAGTTAGCAGTTTTCTACATGGGTTTTCAGGGGGGAAGATATTTTTGTAAGCTACTGAAAGATAAGCATTGGAGATAGGTGGATAGACAAAGGGTCAAACTTCTTAAGAACAATTTTTAATGTGACTTTATTAAAGCAAAGGATTTTTCATAGAGTATGTCTAACTTTTCACTAACTCAGGCTCTGGATCCTTGTGTTACTTAACAATAGTTCACTTTTCAAAGGCTTTCTCCATTGACATCATTCGACACAAAGATTCCATGGATGAACTCTTCAGTCATCGTGGTGAAATCTTTGGCACATGTGGGGAGGAGCAAAAAGCCATACTACAGGTAAACTACATGTATTTATTCACCATATTGTTATCTTGCTCATGGTGATTTGGAAGTACGGTTATGAAATGATAGTTTAAGAAGGGTTTTTTTCCCCTTTATTACTGATAGTGATATTTAAGTCCAAGGTGATGTCCTAGGGGATTCAGACCCCTCACCCTGTGTTCACAGATGTCTAGACAGCCATACTGTATCATATGAAATGCAGTGCAAATCCATGATCTTTATAACAGAGGAGTTGCTCCTCGTGTTCAGTCTGTGATGAGTTAGTTATCTTTCCAGGTAGATAGATTTTTCAGAACCAGATCCAGATATTAATTCCTGCTTTAGATCCTTCTAAAAAAATAGTTAACTATTTCTAAAAGAATTGGCCAACAGAATTTGTTTGTACACCAGTTTTTTTTTATAAAGTGAAAGTCGCTCAGTCGTGTCCGACTCTTTACGACCCCATGGGCTAAAGAGTCCATGGAATTCTCCAGGCCAGAATACTGGAGTGGGTAGCCTTTCCCTTCTCCAGGGGATCTTCCCAACCCAGGGATCGAACCCAGGTCTCCTGCATTACAGGTGGATTCTTTACCAGCTGAGTCACAAGGGAAGCCTTTTTTATAAAAGGTGGGGGTAACTACTATTTCCTCAGAAATCTTCATAAATTGAGCTACTCATCCTAAACATGTAAAGTATAAATAGCAGGTTTGTAGGCACTTTTATCAGAGAAGAAAAGACAAATGAAACTTGATGAGCAAATACCCACCATAGCCCCTGATACAGTCAGATTGACCTAATGCAATAATGCTGCATCTAAAGTTGTAAAAGGCACTCACTAATGGGTTAATTTTGCTCTGTTGTGGTTATGCTATTTTACTGTTGGCAAAGCTACTTTCGTGTTTTAACAATTATAGAAATAATGCATATGTGTGATAGGAAAATTTAAAAATTCAGTTAAGTGTAAAGAATATAAAAATCACTTGTAATCTTAACTAGATTGATTTTTTTTAGCATTTTAGTGTACGTTCCTTTATACTTTTTAGTGTATATCTACTTACATTTTTTATTTAAAGAAGGGTTCATCATGGTAATAATACTTATACTTCTTTTTGTTGTCCATAGGAAAAGACAGAGTCTCTGATACAGCAATACGAAGCCATTAGTCTGCTCAATTCAGAGCGTTACGCACGCCTAGAGCGGGCACAGGTCTTGGTGAACCAATTTTGGGAAACTTATGAGGAGCTCAGCCCCTGGATTGAGGAGACTCGGGCACTCATAGCACAGTTACCTCCTCCGGCTATTGATCATGAGCAGCTCAGACAGCAGCAAGAGGAAATGAGGGTAAGGAGCATGCCGAGTTTTATTTAATTGCACAACTGGAGTTGGGCTGCACCATTTGAGAAACAGCCTGTTTATGAGTACCTACCGAGTGTAAGTCTGTTTTGAAGTTAATTCTTAACCCAGTAGAATTTCTTTGCACAGTAAAGATACATATCTGAAATATTTCCTTTGTTCTTTAAATCAGTTAAAGAATGAGATTATGGAGATGTCAGGAATATGAGTATTACAGGAGTAAACAAAGCACCACGTAAAAATCAAGAGAACTTAAAATCTTTCCAGCAACAACAGAGTGTTCTCAGATTTGGGTGTGGTTGGGTGGCCTTTTCCTTGTGGTTAGGCCCCAGCTGGAGTGAGAGCCCCAACTCAGGAATGTCAAAAAGCAATTTGCTGCAGAGACGTAAGATGAAAGGAAAATGTGTAGACACTTCAGCTGATGGTATTACCATCAAAGATGGTTTTTTGATGTTTATTTTATTTGTTTATGGCTTGTGCTTACTCCTATCTCTGTATTCCTGTAGCAGGGAGATTAAACTGGAAGTAGCCAGCCGTAGGAGCAGTTGGATTGCCAGAAATATTGTTTGTAGTTTGTCCTGCTTGGTGTCTCCCAGTCTGCACAGGGAGACAGACATGAAGCCATTGAGACCGCAGTGGATACAGAGAAGTACTTAGAGTGCAGAAGCCCGTGGGATGCTTTTGTTTTGAGGGCAAGAGTGAAGGAGGATATGTCTGGGAAGCTTCTTGGGTGGCGGAATATCTGAACTGGCTTTTAAAAATCAAGGGAGTTAGAGTCAGTGCCCTGAGACTTAGACTTTCACCCCCTTCATAAATGGTGAGATGTTGGGACTTGCTGGATTTTAGCAACTTAGTTCAGTTTAGTTAGTTAGTTTAGTTTAGTTAGTTCCTCTCAGTTTGTGCTGTTGGTATGAGCTCTGATCACAGTATTTAAACAAACTGGTATAAAAAGACTCATTTTAATCCATATTTTTTTACATAGCAACTGAGGGAATCCATTGCTGAACACAAACCTCATATTGATAAACTGCTAAAGATAGGCCCTCAACTAAAGGAGCTAAACCCTGAAGAGGGGGAAATGGTGGAAGAAAAATACCAGAAAGCAGAAAACACATATGCCCAAATAAAAGAGGAGGTGCGCCAGCGGGCCCTGGCTCTGGACGAGGCTATTTCCCAGTCGGCTCAGGTATGTCTGTGTCTTAAACTCATATAACCTTCAGCTGTCCTTTAGTCTAAGCAGGAGGCGCTGTATCAGTATGTCCCTATGCCCAGGAATGTCCAGACCATGTATGCTGGTGATACATTATCAAGAGACTGGGAGCCTTTGCCCATTTGCATTTTTATTCCAGGAAGTATTGGTTATACTAACAACTAGGAGGAGGGTGAAATGCATCTTGGCTGGTATATCATTTGTCTGTATGGTTTTCTTGAAAACTGGGTATCGTGGTGATCCTTTAACAGAAGTGATTTTGGGCAAAATCATCTTGAAGCAACGAATGCCTCAAGTGAAGTCAGATTGTTATTGGGCCTGTTGCTTTCAAGATGTAGATAGCACATTTGTTTTCCTACTCAAGAGGCCACCAGCTTGCTCCTCGTTCAGAGAAAGATACTTGACTAGGGAGAAGTTAGAGCCAAGGAGAGAGAACCACCAGCAGTGGAGTTTAAAGCATGTAACTACATACTTTTCAACTAATATATTACTGTTATGTCTGGGTAATTTATTCCTATGTTTAGTCAATATTCTTGGTTAATATTTGTACTTACTCAAGTTTCTCCCCCCCACCTTCCGTCCCATCTCTCACTCACATTGTGGAATGTGTTACTTTGTGTTGTTGCTGCCTGCTCCTGTCTTCCCCACATCGTCACATTTCATTGTTGTGTTGACTGCGCCCACCATTACAGATTACAGAGGTAAGGTACCCACCCCCATTGGGATTAGGGTGTTCTTATGAAGCTGAGAATTGAGAGGGTTATTTATAAGGAAACTTGCCTAAACTTTAGCAGTATAAATTTTATTAATGCAGTCTATTGTGCCAGTTTCATTTGGGGCATAACCTATAAGTGAGGGAGTGATGGGAAGGGATTTTGTTTACCGTGGTACTTCCTTTAGGACATTTACCAATTGGTAAGCCTTATTCTAGTTAGTGAATCCAGAGTTGGCTTTAGGGGACAGGCTTACCTGTTTTGCTCCCTTTTCTCCCCTCTCTGCTTCATATTATAAATAAAAATTTTACAATTATAGATAGGTTATAAAATATGTAGAAAAGTGGAAAGAGTAGTTGTTCTCTTGAAATAAGGTTAGATTTGACCTTCCCTAATTATCTTTCATCATGCCAACACTTTCCTTTCTCACTGTTACATCTGGTGGGTTGTTGAATTGCATGCCGTGGTACTTTTAAATTCCAAGTCCTGTGGCATATTGAGTTCCCCATCCATTTACCCAGTTGGTGGAGGGCATCTAACTTGTTGGTCTAATCTGTTGCATGCAGCTGTCATCTGAGGTGTCGACACACTGACTCTCACTGGTTTCATAGTCTTGTCCCTTTTTCATCACATTAGTTGGAACAGGGAAACTATTGCAGCACCATTAACAATGTGAGTTGATTTTTGGTATATTAAGTAATAGCTTTTTGAGTCATCAAATACTTTTCTGATGGTCCAGCTCTAGTGTGCTGTACCCAAAATAGTTTCTTAGCCACAGCCAACACCTGACAGTCGTAGGGCTAGTCCGGGTTTTATCCTAAACAGGAGTGAATTTATACACTGGCCTTAATCCCTAACGTTTACCCCAGAAGTGTGATGCAGTCCTGCTGTGATGGCTGATGGTCCAATATTTGTTTAGTTCCATGATAAAATTGAGCCCATGTTGGAAACTCTGGAGAATCTTTCCTCTCGCCTGCGAATGCCACCGCTGATTCCTGCCGAAGTGGACAAGATCAGAGAGTGCATCAGCGACAACAAGAGTGCCACTGTGGAGCTGGAAAAACTGCAGCCATCCTTCGAGGCCCTGAAGCGCCGTGGAGAAGAACTCATTGGGCGATCTCAAGGAGCTGACAAGGATCTGGCTGCAAAAGGTGCTTGATTAATCTAATAGTTTTGTTTAAAAAATCTTAAATTCTAGGTTGTGGTTACCTCCAGCATCCCACCAGATGTATTTCATTGAATGCAAAGGCAGTACCCAAGTAATGAGTATTCTACAAATCATTTAGAATTCAAAACACATCTCTCCTTTGAAACAAGATTACAATTGGTAGTTAGATTCCCAGGCCAGGAAACAAATGCTCCTTTACCCCCTTAATATGAGGAAACTGCTATACCAACAGTGGGAAGAACATAACTACCTTTTATACAATTTCCATGGGAAACATAGCAGGTTTCACACAGAATACTAGAAATAGGGTTTTTATCCAAGCCCCTTTATAAGCGTCTTAGCAATACTTTTATAACAGATAACTCATTTCCACATTACCTCTGTGATCTCTTTATGTGGGAGGCCAACACAAGTGGAAAATCAGAATATGGAAATAATAAAGCTAAGATAGAAAACTCTCTTTCAGTAATACATTTTTAGAGCCTTTTAAAGTATAATTTCAGTGAAAATATGAGGATTAGATATAATATTGATTTCACTCCTTAGAGAAGTCTATTTCACTCTCCTGTACCCTCTCAGAAATCCAGGACAAATTGGATCAGATGGTATTCTTCTGGGAGGACATCAAAGCTCGGGCGGAAGAGCGAGAAATTAAATTCCTTGATGTCCTTGAGCTAGCAGAGAAGTTCTGGTATGACATGGCAGCCCTCCTCACCACCATCAAAGATACCCAGGACATCGTACATGACTTGGAAAGCCCTGGCATTGACCCATCCATCATCAAGCAACAGGTTGAAGCTGCCGAGGTAAGAAAACAAAACCTACCCAGGAAAGCACTTTATCCAAGTATGTCGTGTTAGCTACTTAGCCAGGCTGAGTGCCTTAAAAGTTGTTTTTGTTTTTTTCTTTTTGTAAAATTTAATAGTATGCCTTTATACCTTGGCGGGGGGTGGGGGGGTGGGGGCGGACCTCATTACAGTAAATTTCTTTCTTTTTTTAATGTACAGGCTTTACCACTTGTGTAGGTACATGCAATTACCAGTTGTGATACAGAGCACATCCGTCACACAAAAGTAGCTCTGTCATCAGTTTTAAACTTAACAATTCAAATTATTAGTACGTGCTTTAAAAATCCAGGTTTGCTTTCATTTCTGAATTTAGTCCTCACTTTGGTGTACTTTATTTCTCGATTAATTGTAGAAAAATAGAAAGTAGAAAAGAAAATAAACTCTGACTTGCCATCCACACTTTGACATACGTTTGTTTAGCATTTGGGTGGAGCCTAGTTTTTATTAAATGCATTTCTCACCTCATTTTGTCCATTTAGGACAAGCCAAGATAGTCTTGATATTCTGCATTCTTTCGCTTATGTCTGTCTTTTATGTTGTCCGTTTTCCACCTCCTTACCTCTGTCATTGACAATCCATGAACCAATATTTAGAATCTGGCACAGAACTGACTTTCTTCAGGACTATATAGTCTAGTATTCCTATTTTGCTCATCTCCCAGCTCTTAAATTTGTGACTTACACTCTTATTTCATCCTTGTTGATTTACTTCTCTGTTATAGACTTCTGTTATAGATTATAATCTCTGCAGACCTTTGCTAAAATTATTGAAGTTCATTGCACCTATATAATAAAAATATTTTCTATATTTAATGTTAATATTTAAAAATATATTTGATGTATGTATTAGAAAAATAACCAGACTGTGAAGCTCCACTATTTAGATGAGTGAAATGTTGAGAACACTGAAAGATTTTAATGAAATTGATCATTCTGTTCAGCATCTGCTCTTGATGGGGTATAAATTACATTTGCAAAATTTGGGAAGTTCTGTTCCTCTTTCTGTTTTGGCTTATGTTCTGTTAATTTTCATATAGACTATTAAGGAAGAGACAGATGGTCTGCATGAGGAATTGGAGTTTATTCGAATCCTTGGAGCAGATTTGATTTTTGCCTGTGGAGAAACTGAGAAGCCGGAAGTGAAGAAGAGCATTGATGAGGTGTGGAGAAGTGGACAAGGGCTTCAGATGGAACGTGAGTGGACTCACACCAAGAGTGGGATGGACTGGGGAATCTGATGGACTGTTTTTCCCCTAGATGAACAATGCCTGGGAGAACTTAAACAGAACATGGAGAGAGAGGCTGGAAAAGCTTGAGGATGCCATGCAAGCCGCTGTGCAGTACCAGGACACTCTCCAGGTGAGAGGCCAAGCGCGACCACCATGGAAACACAGGTGCCGTGGTTTCCCTATCCATCACGAGTGGGTCACCTTCACGGGACTGCAGCATTCTCAAACCGTCGGTGCTCGTCCTGTATTTCTATCCAGTTTTCCACTTCTAATGAGGAAAGTTCTGACATCAGAAGTGTAGACTTCTTACCATGTTTTTCTTTGCATACTGGTCATATAATTTATCCTCACGGAGGCTATAGAGTGAGCCTTGCTGTCAAAGTCATTGCTTGTTAGAAATTCCAAACCCAGGTTATCTTGAAGCACAGCTTGGCACAATAGCTTTGGCACATCGTGGGCTTGCTAGCTGGCTGTGAGAAGTGTTTTGTTTTGTTTTGTTTTTTTTCATATTTAGTTTTTCCAGATTGTAGTTTATTTTGGACATTATTCCAGTCATATTGGCTTCATTCTTAAGTCCCTGTATTACTGAAGTAAAGATCATTATCTCTTATCTCTTTCCCCAACTTCAGAGCACAAACAGCACAAGGTACTTCGATTTAACTCTGTTTAGCAGAGATCATGCTAATTGTCTCGTGACTTCTCATATTTTTGTTTTTTGACTGCTTATTTGTATTTTTTTTTTTTTTTAAAATTTTAGGCTATGTTTGACTGGCTAGATAACACTGTGATTAAACTCTGCACAATGCCCCCTGTCGGCACTGACCTCAACACTGTTAAAGATCAGTTAAATGAAATGAAGGTTTGTACCTGGGAACGGGTTTTGAAGGAGGATTGCTTCACTTTAGGTTTTGTTTGTTTTGTTTGGGGGGCGGGTTGTTCTGTCTTTTGCCTGCGCCAAAAGTCTTCGTTGCTGTGTGCCGTCTTTCTCCAGTTGCGGCGAGTGGGGGCTGGCTACTCTCTAGTTGCAGTGCACAGCTTCTCATTGTGGCTTCTCTTGTTGCGGAGCACAGACTTCAGTTGTTATCGGTGCACAGGCTTATCTGCCCTGTAACATGTGGAATCTTCTCACATCAGGGATCAAACACGTGTCCTCTGCACTGGCAGGCAGACCCGGCTACCAGAGAAGTCCCATTTTAGCTTTTAAAGACTTGTTGTGCTGTTAACATTTAGTATATCTTTGGTAGGAGTTCAAAGTGGAAGTTTACCAACAGCAAATTGAGATGGAGAAGCTCAATCACCAGGGTGAACTAATGTTAAAGAAAGCTACTGACGAAACGGACAGAGATATTATCCGAGAACCCCTGACAGAACTCAAACACCTCTGGGAGAACCTGGGTGAGAAAATTGCTCACAGACAGGTAAGGCAAATGGCAGAGTACATCAAGTGGGCTACTGTCTGCTGTCTCCTGATTTCCTAACAAACGTTCCCTGCGTATCGTTTTCTGAGTAGCATAAGCTGGAAGGTGCTCTCTTGGCCCTTGGCCAGTTCCAGCATGCCTTAGAGGAACTAATGAGCTGGCTGACTCACACTGAAGAGTTGCTGGATGCCCAGAGACCAGTAAGTGGAGACCCAAAAGTCATTGAAGTTGAGCTCGCAAAGCACCATGTAAGTATTGTCTTTTTTTATCTCTAAGCCTATTGGTTTGAGATCATGTACTGCCACCAGAAGCTTTTTGGTATTGTGTTGTACCTTAGAGAGCCAGGCTTAATGATATCTATAGAGATAAATTATGTTGTTCAACATTTTTTAGGTTCTAAAAAATGACGTTCTGGCCCATCAAGCCACAGTGGAAACAGTCAACAAAGCTGGCAATGAGCTTCTTGAGTCTAGTGCTGGAGACGATGCCAGCAGCTTAAGGAGCCGTTTGGAAACCATGAACCAATGCTGGGAGTCGGTGTTACAGAAGACAGAGGAGCGGGAGCAGCAGCTTCAGTCGACACTGCAGCAGGTACATGCACTGCCCACCTTAGTACCCGTGGAGCTGTGCACATAACGTTTGGAAGAAAGTGTGTCTAAGTCGACGAAAGGAAAGCAGTTTGGCGTAGAACCATCTGCCTTGAGAGGAAGGTCAATTCTGTGCTGGAGGTTGTCTGGAAAGAACAGCTTTTAATTGGGTCATTCTTTTTGTATTAGTTTGTGGTCCAGTGCCTCCATCTCCTATTCAAAGTTAGATCTTTGCGGTGACAAACCTTGTTCTCAGATCAAGTTATTTCTTGGATCAAGTCAGGTTCCTCCATATCCAAATTCAGCACTATCTTAGTCAGTTCATCAGGTTGTCTCAGACATCTCTGTTACAGCGAAGCATGAAGGATTCTGCTGAGTTGTAAAAATAATATATTGGCCCCGTGCTCATCCAGCAACAGAGCAACCCTGCCTGAGAGCAGCGCCGGATTCCTCCCTTAAAGATTCCTTGTGTGATCATTTAGAGAGTTTACTTTGGAAACTAGAATTGACTACTGACCTTCCTAATGTCTTTTCTCAAAAGGCCCAGGGTTTCCACAGTGAAATTGAAGATTTCCTCTTGGAACTGACTAGAATGGAGACCCAACTTTCTGCATCGAAGCCCACAGGAGGACTTCCTGAAACAGCTAGGGAACAGCTTGATACACACATGGTAATAGATTTCTTGAAGTTGATCATAGGCATCCCATATTCAGTAGCTCCTTTCTGAAGTCACAGAGACATGTGTATCTGGGAGTCTACCAAGTAGTATGCTTTTACTGATAGTATAGTGCTTGGGGGTAGGTGTGTATATACAGGTTTCTAGCATCCTATGATAGGCAGCAGTAGCAACAGGGAAGAATTGGCAAGAAATACCTTGGTGAGCTGGCAAATTTCAAGTTAATCAGTTTGTCTGACACGAGAATATTGATTTGAAAGTGAGAGCATCAAGAAGACAAATAGACGCAGACATGGTGGTATTTAAGAAAAAGGCTACTGGGGCTTCCTTAGTGGTCTAGTGGTTAAGACTCCACACTTCCACTGCAGGGGCAACAGGTTCAATCTGTGATTGGGGAACTAAGATCCTGCTTGCCTATGCAGCACAGCCAAAAAAAGATGGAAAAAAAGGAAAAGAAAGAAAAAGACTTCTTAGTGGGGGGCAGTTTAGAGAAATCCAATAGAAACTGACACTGTTTCAAGATAGTGGCCGAGAACAAAAGTCAATGTAAGTTCTAGGCAAATCCCTCAGTAAAAGGAGAAATAAATTATTGGGGTCCATTTTTGTGGCCACTGGTCCTTAAAAAATTCTATTGGTGACAAAATTATCTTTATGTTAAGGAAGAATGGTGGGTTTTACTCCCTAATTGTTCATAAGTTGAATCTAAAAGGAAGGATTTTAATCCAAATGAGACCTTCCTCAGCTTTTCCAAACTATGCTGGTAAATCTGTGTGTGGGTGACTTTGAGGAAATTGGCATTACTGACCTCTTTCTTGCCCTTTCTTAAAGGAACTCTATTCCCAGCTCAAAGCCAAGGAAGAGACTTACAATCAGCTGCTTGACAAGGGTAGGCTAATGCTTCTCAGCCGTGATGACTCGGGATCCGGTTCAAAGACAGAACAGAGCGTAGCACTCTTGGAACAAAAGTGGCATGTGGTCAGCAGTAAGATGGAAGAAAGAAAGGTATCACCACAAAGTTCAGTTTGATTACTGTTTAAGGAGTTTTCTTAATGATTGCATGCAGTTGTTACCTAGTTTCTATGGAGGATTTTTTTAACACCCAGTTGCATTGTGACAAGCTAGCAGAACTGATATCCTCAGAATTGGTTTTGTGCTAATCAAGCCATCTTTTCTGCCTTTACATTTCTATTTTCTATCCATGTCAAGTTGCATTGATGCTACTAGTTTCTGCTGTTACTTGCTTTTATAATATTTATAATACTGTGTCCCTTTTCTGCATCTACCAGTTAAGGCACTGCTCAGCGATGGACTGTGTATTCCATCTACTTAAAAACAGGTTTTGTTGGAGTTGGTGACTTGAGAATGGGAGGTTAGGAACAATATACAGGGAGTATCATGAATAATTCCTCACAAAGAATTTGATTTCTACTTACCAAAACTCAACGAACAATAAATCATATGGCCTTGTCCTACTTTTCCTCAAAAATCAAATTGTCTTCAAAAGAAAAGTGATCAGAGATCAAGGCATTTGCCCCCAAACAGTACTTTTTATGAATACAGAGTTTTAGGATATCCCCCTGCACACAGTTTCTATGCTGGGCAAATGAAACATTAAATGTGTGTCCAAATCCATTGGCCATATCCATTGAACAAATAGTTATTAGGCATGTTTGTACTAGGCACTGTACTAGGTGTAGAGTGGAAACAATAAAGGCATGAACTCTGTCATTGTGAACTTGAATGGGCAGAAGGAAATAAATCACATACTCACATAAATTAACATTTTGAGAGAAGCATTAATTTACTAGAATCCTTCTTGTGTGGGGGTCTGGTAACTTTGTTACATGAAAAATGGGCAGAGGACCCGAGTATATGGCAGTGTGCTAATTCTTGGATGGGCTCTTGTTTATAACTTCTACTGAATGTAGAATTCATTAAAGAAACCAAGGTAGATTCTGGCTCATCATCAGGAAGTTTCTACAGGGTTTTCCTAACAGTGGATCAGGTAGCCTCGAGGAATACAGTTTTGACCCTTGAACAGCATAGGTTTGAGCTATGCGGGTCCAGTTGTGTGCAGAATCCCCCGCCCCGCGCTGAATATGTCTACAGTACTACACGATCCCTAGTTGGTTGATAAATCTTTGGATTCAGAACCGTGGATATGGAAGGCTGACTATAAAGTTACACATGAATTTTCAACTTTTCAAAGCATCGATGCCCTTAAACCTGTGTTGTTCAGGGGTCGACTGTAGTTGGTGAACTGATCGAATGAAGGCTAGCTATCAAAGATACTATTTTTGATTTTGCAAGAACAGTACATTGCAGAATTGCTAAAATTAAGCTCTATTAAAAACTATGTAGATAAAATGATGTGGAAAGATTTCTTGCCATCTGGGAACTTGCAGTGTATTGACTTCTAAACATTTCTTTGATAGAATTGAGGTAGATTTTATTTTTCTACTTTTTTGTTTATATTGAGCCTGCATTTTTGTAACACTCATTGTAGTGTTGGGGTGGGGGGTGGGCAGCTGATGTTTTTTACTGACATTACTTCCCATCATCTAGGAAATTAGTCTAGCCCAGCCAGCTCCCCTTTCTCCCAGCCTGCTCTGGGGGAATGGCATGGGGTGGGAGGCCACCTTCTGCAGTTTACTGCAGCCCATGCCCTCCCACAGGGGAAAGGAGGCACTCAGAAATCGTGTCAAGCCCTGCCTCTGGATACAGGAGTGGGGACAGGTAGCAGCACTCCTGGGACCCCCCCTGCCCGGGTGATGCAAGGCCTAGGCTGCTGGAATGGCCAGTCCAGGCAGGCCTCAGTTTGCCCTACTCCAGAGCACTGCCCTGCTCTCCCAATAGACACCAGGCACTTATTTTCTGACTAGACCAGGTGTAGGGGAGGGGTCTGGGTGGAGCCACAGCCACCTCCAGCCATTTTTTGCAGAGGCTTCGGAGACCACCCTGCTTCCAAAAACTAAAGTCTGTCTTCCAACTATAGCCAGGCTGAACCCTGGAGACATTGCCCAAAGATAAGCAGGGGTCAGGAAGGGAAATAGAGGTGAAAGGGGAATAGGGTGGGTTGAGTTTTACAATGCTTTTGTTTGTTGTTTAGCCGCTAAGTCCTATGGGACTCTCTTGCAACCCATGGACTACAGCCCGCTAGGCTCCTCTGTCCATGGAATGTCTCAGGCAAAAATACTGGAGTGGGTTGCCATTTCCTTCTCCATATAGTATTTGTTAGGTTACAGAAGTAATCTGAAAATGCCAAGAAGAAGGTAAAAAGCATTCATAACCCATTTAATAGTAATAAACATTTTTAGTATGTTTCTGGTGTTTCTTTCTGTGAGAATTCTGCATATATTCATTTTTAACAACCTGTCATTGTCCTGTTTTGCCCGCCTGATAGATGGGCCAGAGGCAAAGGCCCATCTATCCAGATGTTCTGGGTGGAAGTCTCTGAGGATGGAGCTTGTAGACTGAAATTGGGGTGTATTCATGGAAAAATAGCCTGCATCCTGATTGAAGCACTGTTTTTGTCATCCTGATTTAGATCAAAATGACTAAAAATTTACATCTAATGTCACATTTTTACTTGAAATATTCTGACCTTTATTGCCTTTGTTGCTTGCAGCATAAGCCTGTTTCACACTCAGACATTTTCAGGTGCCGTATTTTCTGGAAACATATTTTAACAGAAAGCATTGCAGTGAGCATCATTATCACAATGAAGTGCTTTTCAGTTAGTTGTTTTTATGTCACAAAAAGGGCATTAAAGGAAACTGAGACTTTGCCCAAAGCAGGTTGGAGATCCTGCAGCTGTCACCACTAAAGGGCCTGTTCTCTTACGGTCCCTGAATGGCTTGAATGGCTTTATTCCCGTTCTTTAATGTCCCAGGAAGTGGGGAATGGCAGAGAAAGCAACTTAGCTGTAAACTGTGCTCTTTGCTTTTCCAAGCACAGTTGCTTGAGTTTCAGATACTAGCATTCAAAATGTCCCCTTCTTTGCAAACAAGGCATGTTTGGAGGTTGATTAAATGAGGCTTCCTTCTTAGAAGTCTTTTCACTTGGTGTACAATTCATGTCTTTGTCCTTGAAGCTATAATTCCTGAATTTGGTACTTGTCTTTTTGTGTGTGTGCATGGCACCTGAAAATTTAGTCAAAGCTGGAAGAGGCCCTCAACCTGGCAACAGAATTCCAGAATTCCCTGCAAGAATTTATCAACTGGCTCACTCTAGCAGAGCAGAGTTTAAACATCGCTTCTCCTCCCAGCCTGATTCTAAACACCGTCCTTTCCCAGATAGAGGAGCATAAGGTAACAATGGCATTACAATGCCGCCTTCCTTTTGCAAGTACCAATTGAAAGTGATGCTCCTCAATCTTAGCTCCAGTCTAAAAACAGCAATATTTTCTCCTCAGGTGTTTGCTAATGAAGTAAATGCTCATCGAGACCAGATCATTGAGCTGGATCAAACCGGCAATCAGTTAAAGTTCCTTAGCCAAAAACAGGACGTTGTTTTGATCAAAAATTTGCTGGTTAGCGTCCAGTCTCGATGGGAGAAAGTTGTCCAGCGATCTATTGAAAGAGGGCGATCGCTGGATGATGCCAGAAAGCGGGCAAAACAAGTAAGTTGTGAAAGAAAGATACCAATTTGCTGAACAACCTTGGACTTCGCATGTTGAGTAAAAGTGCTGTGTTGTATGCATGTTCATTCCTGTTACAACTTATTTCTTCAATAATTTCAGTTCCATGAAGCTTGGAAAAAGCTGATTGATTGGCTGGAAGATGCGGAAAGTCACCTGGACTCAGAACTGGAGATATCCAATGACCCAGACAAAATTAAACTTCAGCTCTCCAAACATAAGGTACATTGGCTCACTGCTCTTCATTCCTGAGCTTGGGATTCACTGACATTTGTAGCTTGCTAAAAAAAGGAAAAGCTAAAACTTTTAGCTTGCTGAAAGAAAACTAATCGGTTAGTGTTAAACAGTTAAGATCATAGAGCCAGCCTTCCATTTTGCATGTAGACAGTGTCTAACCATAACAACTGCTTATTTTAAATAAGAGTTCAAACAAAGTGACTGTGGGAGTAGCCAGCTAAAACTGTGGGCTTTTAGAAAAAGTCTGGTGTATGTGGCACAAACAGAACCTCACCAACTTCTTCAGGGTAAGTTGTTGTTAATTTTAAGACATAGTGACATGCATACTGTATCTGGTCACCACCTGAAAACTCAGTGTCATCTGACTTTCAGCATTTTTTTTTTCTTTTCTGAAAACAGGAGTTCCAGAAGACTCTTGGTGGCAAACAGCCTGTATACGACACTACAGTTAGAACAGGCAGAGCCCTGAAAGAGAAGACGCTGCTCCCTGGTGACACTCAGAGGTTGGACGACTCACTGGGGGAGGTCAGAGACAGATGGGACACTGTCTGTGGCAAGTCCGTGGAGAGGTGAGCGTGGGTGTCCCCCCGTGCGTCTCTGTGCTGTCCCCCAGAAGCGACCAGGAGACGGCGCCAGATTCTGCAAAATGATAGTGAAGCTAATGCATCAGTGACAGTGGCATCTTGGTGTTTCCAATTAATTGAGTGATGAATTATGAAATAATTTGAGGAAAATGTATTAAATTATCTTACTTAAGCTTGAAACTTACTGTATTACAAAGAGAGAAGCCTATAAAATCAAGCCAACAATAGTACTAATAGATCTATAAATATATGTAAATCGCCAATTTGTAATGCCAGTAATTGTCTCACTGATGGTCTCGTGTTGAATGTTCTTCAGAAACCTCTGATATAATATCTCCTTTAACCACCATGAGACTCGGTCATCCTTGTAACAACCACTGAGGTGGGGGTACTCTCCTCCCCCTTTTACAGATCAGGAAAGAGTCATGAAGAGGTTTCTTGACTCCCCCATGCTCACTCAGCTGCTAAGTGACAGAGCTGAGATTTAGTTCTAAAAGTTGCACTTTTATCCACTTGTACCCACTATGCTATGTAAGCATTATGATAGCTCTATATTATTTGTACTCCCAATTTTTCAGATGAGGTGACTGAGTTTCAAAGAGGTAAAGAGACAGCCTAGAGTCTCATAACAGATGGAGAGTTAGGAGTTGAACTGCTGGCCCCAGGCCATTAACAGAATCGTCACCCTCTCCTGGAGTGGTGTAATGTAAATAAAAAGACCTTGGGTCGTAGGGTTTGCGTATGTGTATAGCAGCTGGACTCTTGAGATCCCAGAAGTGCATCTCCACCTGTCACCTGTACTGTGCTTAATCCATTTTTGAGAGTGGTTTACCTAAACATACCTACATATCTCTTAGTCACTTTTTATAATATTTTTAACTGTTCTAACACAGTAGTCTCTAGATAGAGTTCAAGCAGTATTCCCTTTCAATGGCCAGAACTGTGGGCCATTCATAAAAGGATCATTAAAATTAGTGAGGCTTATGTGCTTGTCTCAGGCAGCACAAGCTGGAGGAGGCCCTGCTGTTTTCCGGCCAATTCATGGATGCCCTGCAGGCCTTGGTTGACTGGCTGTACAAGGTGGAGCCACAGCTGGCTGAGGACCAGCCTGTCCACGGAGACCTGGACCTCGTTATGAACCTCATGGATGCCCACAAGGTGGGGGTGAGATCTGGGCTGTGTGGAGGGCGAAGCCATCGGGTCCCCCATCCCTGTGTGTCTTCTGCTCCTGCTGCCCTCCTAGGGCTTCCCTAGAAAGGAAGGCGGAAGGAGCCTGTGTCTCTGCTTGTCGGAGAGTCAGCGCCTTGCTCTGTGTGTTTAAACAAACTGCTGCCGGGATTCTGCATCAGTCACAAAGAATTGACCAAACTTGGTTTGATTCAGATGTGCCGATGTGTAAGCTTCATTTTGAGGTTCCCTCCCACTTCCTGTTTATATGTCTCAATTGAATCTTATATGTCTCAGTTGAATCAAATTGGATTTAAATTCAGGAGACCCTCAAGATATCCATTTTCCACTGATTCTTACAATGAAATTGAGTGCTTCTTCAACTGCTTGTGAACCTGGCAAGCTAGCACAGTGCATACCAACTTTTAGTACCTACACCTATATGTTGAACTGCATACTGCTCTCCTGCTTCAGCATCAAGCATTCAGCTTTACCTTGAAATTGTACCAGATTTTTATGTACATGGCAGGTGTGCTCTTACCAAGAGGGAGAAGAGAGGGGAGGGATAAATTGGATGATTGGGGTTGACGTATACATACTACCACATCTAGAATAGATAGCTGACAATCTGCTGAATAACACAGGGAGCTCTGCTCAATACTCTGTAGTAACTTGTATGGGAAAAGAATCTGAAAATGAGTGGATGTATGTATATGTATAACTGGTGCACTCTGCTGTACGGCGGAAACTAACATAACAGGGACTTCCCTGGTGGTTCAGGGGTTAAGACTCTGTGCTTCCAATGCAGGGAATGCGGGTTTGATCCCTGACCAGGAAACTTAACGTCCCACATGCAGCATGGTGTGGCCCAAAAAAAGAAACTAACCCAACATTGTAAATCAACTATACTCCAATAAAAGTCCATTTTAAAAGTCCCACAGTTCTGGAGAGGTTAGCATAGCATGGTCCCTGTATCACAGGTGAGGAAGCTGGGACTACGGTTAAGCAGCTTATCCAAAGTCACATGGCCTCATTAGGACCCGCGTCCTGTAATGCTTCTTTTTCACTTGTGGTCCCACCTCCATATTTGTATAAAAGACACACAATTAGAACCTATCAAAGGAGAATTGAAGGAAAGGACTACTTTCTCTTTGGTTTTACTTCTTGAATTCAAAACATTTGTGAGATGAACTAATTCTCCTATTTTCCAGGTTTTCCAGAAGGAACTGGGAAAGCGAACAGGAACCGTTCAGGTCCTGAAGCGATCAGGCCGGGAACTGATAGAAAATAGTCGAGATGACACCACTTGGGTGAAGGGGCAGCTCCAGGAGCTGAGCACTCGCTGGGACACCGTGTGCAAACTCTCCGTCTGCAAACAGAGCCGGCTGGAGCAGGCCTTGAAGCAGGTCAGACAGCACTGGGGGGGGCCTGAGCAAAGCCAGTCTGGCCTCTTTGTCAGGATCGGTTCCGGCCAGTCTCACAAGGAGTCAAAAATTGATGTTCTAGATGTTCTACAAGAACATTTAGCATGTCTGTATTAGAGAAATCATGACTCCAGTTGATTTTCAAAGTAGCACAGATGAAAAATGACCTTTGGGGGCTTCAGTAGAGCCTCCAGGTGCCTGTGATAGGCCAGTGAGTTCAGGCCAGACCCCTCTCTGGCTGCCTTGTCTGGGACCTCAGCTGCACAGAGAGGCTCAGGCTCTTGTGCTTGGTTATTTCAGGCAGAAGAGTTTCGGGACACAATCCACATGCTTCTGGAGTGGCTTTCTGAAGCTGAGCAGACGCTACGCTTTCGGGGAGCACTTCCCGATGACACGGAAGCTCTGCAGTCTCTCATTGACACTCACAAGGTAATCCATCTCAGGGTGCGCGGCCCCACACGGGGAAATGACATGTGGGTTTTCTGACCCCCTAGAGACCACTCATCCTCTCGTCTTTTGCAAAAGTGGCACATGCAGGTTATAAGCAAGTCAAACAGCTGGTGTTAGTACCAGAGGAAAACATGGGCTGCTCTAGCTTTACGCACACCCCACCCCTACCCCTCCGCATACACCTTGCGTGGCTTTCCTCCCTGACCAGCTCCAAGCCTGATCTGTGCCCCCGGAGCTGCTCACCAGGCTGCAGGGTATAATGTGGTGTCTGGGGCCTCAGTGTGACTGTCCTAAGGAGATGGGAAGTGTTTCCTTTTTTAATTTTTGTATTTCCCGCCTAGAGATTTTACTCTTGGTTTTGTGATTCATTGTGTTAGGTATTGTTAAAACATTGTAGTGTTTTGTAGCTGTCACTATTTTTGTCCAGTACCGTTTACACATATGGAAATGACTATAAACAGGAATTTGTAAAAAGAGGGAGTACTCAGGAAGGAGGTCAGCTTCTGTGTTTCTAGTCCTTACCATTCGTTCACTGAAAATCATTCTTCTATAAGTCCCTTACTTTCCCACACCTGTGAGAACTGGAAAGAAAATGCCGGAGACACCTAAATACATACTTTAGAGGTCTGTGTCAACACAGTTAAAAAAAAACACTGAAGTGGTTTTCTCCTCTCAGTCTAAACTAACAGTGCTGCTAGAGTAGGTTTAAGGTTTCAAATCTTGTTTGTTTAGGAATTCATGAAGAAAGTGGAAGAAAAGCGAGTGGATGTTAACACAGCAGTGGCCATGGGAGAAGTCATCCTGGCAGTCTGCCATCCTGACTGCATCACCACCATCAAGCACTGGATCACCATCATCCGGGCACGCTTTGAGGAGGTGAGTCCCTAGGTTTACAGGAAGACCACAAGTGTCCCATCCCCCATGTAAGGAATCTTTCACTCACTCTGAATAGCTCAACAGGAGTCAGGTTATTAGCATTTTAGCAGTGACTGTTTTCTTGATAATGTGCAGAAACCTGAAAGGACGGTGCTGGTATTGTAACATGTTCCTTGATGACGTCCAGTGGACACATGCCATGCCCTTTCCTCCTTCCAGGGACCTTCTGTGTCTAAGACCGTCTGCTGCATTTGTTTTCAGGGGAACAGGCTTCTTATTCCAGCTCTGTCTCTGGAGCAAGAGTGAGGCCTCTTGACTGCTTGGGTGGTCTTTTCCCTAAAAGTCATTGTTAGGCTCACACAAAAAGGGGCTTTGAAAATAAGGAATGTGCTTGACTGAGAGCCAGCGGGTCCCCTCCCCCGCAGGTCCTGACGTGGGCTAAGCAGCACCAGCAGCGCCTCGAAGCTGCCCTTTCGGAACTGGTGGCGAACGCCGAGCTCTTAGAAGAACTTCTGGCATGGATCCAGTGGGCCGAGACCACCCTCATTCAACGGGATCAGGATCCGATCCCTCAGAACATCGACCGAGTGAAAGCCCTTATTGCTGAGCACCAGGTACCCCCACCACGTCCTGTGGTCATAGGTTTCCCGCGTGGCTCATGGAGCCCATTTCCTTTGCTCTGTGCATCCGTGTTTTAATGGTCGCTGAACATATTCCTGCAGACTCACCAGCTTAAAACATGCTTACTCTCTCGAAGTTTTCGTGGGGCGGGGGTTCCGGGCATGAGTTAGCTGGGTCTGTTCACTGTTGGTTTCTATTGACTAGCCTCTGCACCATGGTCCCATTACCTGGGACCTATCCCATCACACCTGGATTCAGAAATATTTATTACACGAACCCAGAGATGGGCCAGACAACACACCGAACTAAACTGAATGGAGGAAAACTCTTGAGCTATCTTCATATACCATATGTTCTTAGGAGACAAATACTTGTTAACCATTGTTAAAACTGTGGTTTTTAGCCATGATACCTTACACTGAAAGCAGGTATAGTTCTTGCTTAGTAATGCCCTGGGTGTGAATTCTTTCAGCAGATATGATTAACCTTGCCCTGTGCTTCCCTTGGAGTTCACCTACACTGACCCCTCCTCTCCTGAGTAAGAGTATCTTCTTGCATCAAGGCCAGTCCCTCGCCCGTCTGTTCCCACCCCTCATTCCTTATGCCTTCCAGCCCTCATCTTTCTCCCCCGCCCCCCTCCACCAGCACCGTCTGTCTGACCATTGCTGCTCAGTCTTCTTAGCTGGTTTCTTTTCCTTTGTTATTGGTTAGTCGCTAAGTTATGTCCAGCTCTTTTGTGACCCCATGGACTAAGGCCCACTGGGCTCCTCTGTCCATGGGATTTCCCAGGCAAGAACACTGGAGTGGGTGGCCGTTTTCTTCTCCAGTGGTCAAACCGATATCTCCTGCATTAGCCGTGGGTTCTGTACCACTGAGCCACCAGGGAAGCCCTCTTCTTCCTTTATGCACTTGTTAATGTTGCTGTTCCCTAAAGTTCCATTCTTAACCCTCTTCTCACACCCAAGGTATTTAGCCTTCACCTTCAGCCAGCACCTGTACACCAAGGGTTTCCATATCTCCTGCCTCGTCTGCACACACAGGAAGCCAGAAACAGCTCTGAAACTTCACCGCAGCCTTGCTTCCTGGCCCTGGCCCTAACCCCCCTTCCCTCCACACTGCCTCCTCGCTCCTCATCCACTCAGTCACCCAACACAGAAGCCTGTGCTGTGTGTCTGGGATTTCTTCTCTTTCTATAGCCCTACATTTAGCCAGTTGTTGGGTCTTACCTGTTCTACTTTCGGAATGCTGCATGGCGGCTCCTCTCCTGCCTTGGCTTAGGCCCTCACTGTGTTTTGCCTCAATTACTGCATTAGGTTCCTAACTTCTGTGCCACTCCACCCAGCTCCTTATCTTTTGTCCTGCCTCCTACACTGAGGCCAGAGCGATAGCTCTAAGACAGAGATCTGTTGGTGTCTCTTTTCTGGATCAAAATCCTTCAGTTGCTCACCCACTTGTAACCCCCTTGCCAGTTGCTTTCAGAATAAAATCCCAGTCCCTCAGCCTGACACAAGGCCTCCCTGGACCTTTATGCTGCCTGCCCCTCCTCCAGTGGCATCCTCAGCTCAGCCAGTGGTCAGGGCCCTGGTTCACTCCACTCTCAGGCTTCCGTGGGGCTGCCTTGCCCCCAGTCTTTGGCTCATTGCTCAGCCCGCAGCTCAGGCACCAGCCTCCAGGCAGCCTTCCTGCCCAACTTGGGCTGTGTGTGCCCATCCTAGGCCTGCTCTGGGGACCTGGGGACCACTCATTGCTCTGCCTGGCCTGGTTTCCTCACTCAGCCATGAGCTTCTGATACTCAGAGTCATGTCTTATTCTTTCAGGCCTCCAGTACTTGATGATGTGCCTCACTCATCATATTTCTTGAAAGGAGTGGGGCCATGTATAAAGGCATCTCTAGTGATCCATTTGTAGCAGGCTTAGCCCTTTTAGTAAGAAGTTGCCTATTTCCGTCTTAGTCCAAAAAACTCTCAACTCTTTCTTGTTTTGTGTTCACCAGACGTTTATGGAGGAGATGACTCGCAAGCAGCCTGATGTGGACCGGGTCACCAAGACGTACAAGAGGAAGATCCTAGAGCCAGCCCACGCGCCTTTCATGGAGAAGTCCCGCGGCGGCGGCAGTACGTGGAGCCCTTGGGCAGGAGGCGTCCTTCCTGCTCACTGAGGATGAGCATTGCAAAAACCATATGGGATTGGAATGAAAATCTGTTTTTGAAACTCACTTTTCTTAGACAGTAGCTAGACTCCAGTTTTTTGAATTGGTATGAAATTGGGGGGTGGCTAAGCTGATTCATTTGTAGCGGCCTTCTGATTATTTTAGTCATCAGCGCTGACTGTTTACCTTGGTTTTCAGTAGTTTCTTCCTAAAATAAGTTGGCGCCTGTAGAACTATTGTGTTTCCTTGGTCCGCAGAGTGGGGCGGAACCGACTGAAAGTGTGAGACAGGTACTTGTCGGCTGGGGGACGAGCAGCAGTCGTTTCTGCTTCCGTGCCTCAGTGCGGCCAGGACCCGAGTTTCCTTCCTCAGTTGCTGACCGGATGTCATTGTGCAGATCCTTTAGGTTCAGCCAGATGGCACCTTCTCATTGTGAATGGACAAAACCAGCTTTTCTAGTCTAATGATTATTTTTCCTTTCAGGGAAGTCCTTGAGTCAGCCTGCGCCTCCTCCCATGCCAATCCTCTCACAGTCTGAAGCAAAAAATCCACGGATCAACCAGCTCTCTGGGCGCTGGCAGCAGGTGTGGCTGTTGGCGCTGGAGCGGCAGCGGAAGCTGAATGACGCTTTGGACCGGCTGGAGGAGGTGAGGCCCTGCCGGGCAGCCGTCCCTGGAGGGAAGTGACTTATCAAAACACAGCCCTTCGGAGGCTCTGGGTACTGACCCGTGTGCCTTGACCTACTACTTCTGCAGGAGGAGCAACAGAGCAGTGTAGACCAGGACTCAGTCCTGCAGGCCCCATGGGAGAAAAGACCCATGTGAGGAAGCTAACAACTGATGGGCTGTAGCACTGGTCGTGGAAAGCAGGCTGTCAGCCAGTCCAGGCGGGTCCGGCCTGTGGCGCCATCCTCCTTAGTGCCCGGCCATGGTTGAGAATCAGGAGCCTAACTTGGCAAAGTTACCGCCAGTTGTGGAGCGTCTCATAAAAATGACTGTTACTGAGCCCTTTGTGTAAAGATATAAACTCCCCAATTATGAAATGAGTAGTTTTTTTATAATCCTGTTATTTGTCGATTCTTCAGTAGATTATAAAAAGCAAATCTATTTTGAAGTATCATTAACTGGTCTGAAAAATATAGTACTTCACTTCCTAGTTTCTAAAACAAATTTCTAATATCTTTTATATTTTTTCATTTGTGCACATCAAAGCAGCTATGCCCAGAAGTGAGTGTTCTGTGTTTTTTGTTGTTATTTCTGTAGATCCAGTTGAGTTTTCAGCATTTTTGGTTTTGGCTTTTTCTTTTTTTTCCCCATTCCTTCCAACTTTGGAGTTTGAAAGACCAGGGGGAAAACCGCTGCACTGTTTTAAGTTATCCTGAGTCCGTGTCACTGGCATAGTGCAAGTAGCTCAGCATCACTTTGTCCACTGCACAGGCTTGCTGCTGTCCACCAGGACCAAATACTTACAGTGGGAATCAGAGGGCAGTTCACTCCCTCTGGCGCCATCCCAAAGCAACACCACATAAGTGGGGCACACTGAGGACTTCTCTTCTGGGGTAGAATCCATTCTTTCACATCTGAGGGGATGATCCTTTGAAAAAATGCCAAGGGAAAGCAAGGCTGACCCCACCCACTCTTGTTCTGCGTTCTCTGTATCTTCCATGGTGGTTGTTGAGTTACTGTTTCTCTCACTGCTCCATTTTACCGCAGCTCATGTAAACAATCATGGCTTTAAGTGAAGGAGCCAGTGTGCCTTCACAAAAGAGGCAACACAGAGATTTCATTGTTGGTCCCCTGAAAAGGCCCGCATGGCTTTGCTGGATGTCTGAAAGTTTGGGTATGCTCTGGGCAGGTTTGAAGGCCAAAACAGTAGGTCTTGTTGATGCCTCTGATCTCTGTCTAGTTGAAGGAATTTGCCAACTTTGACTTCGATGTCTGGAGGAAAAAGTATATGCGTTGGATGAATCACAAAAAGTCTCGGGTGATGGATTTCTTCCGGCGAATTGACAAGGACCAGGATGGGAAGATAACCCGTCAGGAGTTTATCGATGGCATTCTAGCATCCAGTGAGTCCAGTCACAATTCCAAACTCAGGTCACAACTAGATTCCTTGCACTTGCTTTGTCGAAGCAGGCTATATTTCTGGCTAAAAAGTCTTTCTTAAGTGAAAGCTGAAGTCTTAGAGAAGAAGTAATGTACCTGCTTACTAAAATTGGTCTATTGTTTTGATGGGGAGTCGGACCTCATTTTGCTTAGAATTAAAACAGGCAGGTCTTATTTGACACATTATGGCAAGCAAAACACATTCAAGGTTTAGAATAGGAGCTAACTATTGTGAATAATGAAGTTCTAAGTACAGGCAGACATTGGAGATATTGCAGGTTCACTTCCAGACCACCTTTATAAAGCAAATATTGGAATAGAGAGAACCATTAGACATTTTTGGTTTCCCAGTGATATGAAAGTTATGTTTATACTATACTGTAGTCTATTAAGTATTCAATAGTGTTATACCTTAAAAAATGATGTACATACCTTAATTTAAAAATAATGTATTGCTAAAATATGCTGACCATCATCTGCGCCTTTAGCAAGTCATTATCATTTGCAGTAGTAACATCAGAGATCATTGATCACAGATCACCATGAGAAATATAATAAAAATAATAATGGAAATTTTGAAATATTGCAAGAATTGCCAAAATATGACACAGAGAGATATGAGGTGATCATATACTGTTGGGAAAATGGTGCCAATAAACTTGCTTGGCATGGATGGAGTTGGCGCAAACCTTAAATTTGTTTTAAAAAGAAGGGGATGATATCTGAAGCATAGTAAATGAGATCATATATTTTATAAGCTGTTACATAGATGCCAGAAACTGACATGAGATATGCCTATAAAATATTTTTTTTAAGTTTTTCACAGTATCAGTTGTTCAATAGGAATTCAGATTTATTTTTTTCTTCCAATTTTATTGAGATGTAAGTAGCATACAGCACTGTATAAGGTTAAGATATACAGCATAATGATTTGATTTACGTATATGAAGTAATTAGCACAGTAAGTTTAGTGAACATCATTTCATATAGGTACAAATTTAAGACATAAAAAAATTATTTCTTGTGATGAGAACTCTTAGGGTTTACTCTCAACAGCTTTTATATGTGACATACAGCAGTGTTAATTATATTTGTCATTTTGTTGTACAATACATCCCTCATAATGTCAGTTTCTGACATCTGTATAAAAGCTTACAAAATGTATGATCTCATGTATTTTTAGCAAAAGGAATAAGTGAGGCATTTAGTTAAGTGACTTGCCCAGATCACAAAGCACATCTCACAGGTGTGCTGCTTCACATAGAGGCCCAAGAAGGCCTGTCTGGAGGTGATACCTGAGTTGAGACCTAAGTGATGGTAAGGATTCAGCCACATCAAGATTTCAGGGAAGAGACAGAGGCAGAACCGCAGCAGGTACAAAGTGCTGAGAGGAGAATGAACTTGGCAGGTGCTCAGAGGTTAACATTGCTGGAGTGTCATGACCTCAGAATTGGTAAGATGTGAAGTTGGAGAGGTAGAAAACAACTATTAATGTGGGGCGCTGTTGGCCATCATGAAGGGATCAGATCTTATTCTAGAGACAGTGGGCCGCCAGCAGAGATTTCCATCTGAGAGACAGTGTAGTTCACTTTGTCTTAAGAAGTCACTCTGGTTACTGTAACATTCACACCTTGGAAAGCAGTTGTGAGGAACCCAAAGCAATAATCTAAATGTAGAAAAACTTCACCCTATTTATTCCAAATTGTCTGTCTCCTGAAATAATCTAAATATCCAACCTATCAATAGTGGAGTAAATAAGTATATTCTGAAGTTCAGTGGTAGGTCTCTGGTTTTAAATTGCATAGGGGGTTGGGAGGGTTGTGAGTCTATTAGCAAAAATGCCAAAAACTGACTGTGTTCTGGGGCATGCTCTGAGTGTGCCATAATATATTTCGGGGTGATGTTTATCTTCTTTGTAACTTTTTGTGTTTTCTAAAGGGAGCATGTACTGGTTTTCAGAAAAAAAAAAAGTTAAGACAAATTCTTTTAAAGAAGTATTTATATAACCTCCAACCAGCCAAGTAAGCCTTTTCTCTTAGTTAATGTTCCAAAATGTGATTAATTTTCCTCCAGAGTTCCCTACTACCAAGTTAGAGATGACTGCTGTTGCTGACATTTTTGACCGAGATGGGGATGGTTATATTGATTACTATGAATTCGTGGCTGCTCTCCATCCCAACAAGGATGCTTATCGACCAACAACTGATGCAGATAAAATTGAAGACGAGGTACGAGAAATAATTGTATTTTGAGTACGTTTTTGATGACATGTTGCTACTGTCCTGAATTTGGTCGGGTGCAGTTGCCATATCAGCCCTTCAGCATGTCTGTTGGGAGGTGATTATCTGGAGTTCTGTTTGTGGACCCCCTGTTGGATGGTGGAGCCCCCGTGGGTCTCCAGCTATTGAGCTGTGGCTCCGTCTCAATGAATTCACTCACGTGAGTCATCTCTATGTGGTGTTCTGCAGTTTCAGAGAACCTCTCCAGGGTACCACGTTTCCTAGAACAGACTCTGCTTCAGGGTCCAGAGGAGCATCTTCATATATAGCATTTAAGGGTTGAAACGTAGTGTTTAAGATGTGTACCCACCAACCTCTCTGCCTATTTAAGAACTGAATCACATTGAAAACTGCATCATGCTAAAAAGTATGAATTCATTAGGAGCTCATAGAATTGATCCTAAGATGGGGGAAGCAATGGGCCTGGTCTGGGGAGTGGCCCAGAGCATCCCAGGGCCAGGCTCCTAGGTAGAGATTTAAATCAACTCATAATTTGCTGTTAATTAGTCAGTTAATATTGATGCATGCATATTAGCACATTTCTCTGAGGGAATTTTGAAGCAAGATGGAAGAATGTGTTGTATCATTACTGGTGAATTTCCTTTATATTCAGCATCTAACTGAGTCTCCATGAGACTCATGATAGACGATAAATGCATGTGTTAAAAGCCTGGAATTCCTAAAAATATGTAATGAAGAGCTTCTCTGATGACATGTAAAGATCTTTGTTTCTTTGAAGAGGGAGTCTTGATTTATCCCTCACACTTTTCTTTTTGTTTTTATTCACTACTAATAGGTCACAAGACAAGTGGCTCAGTGCAAATGTGCTAAAAGGTTTCAGGTGGAGCAGATTGGAGAGAATAAATACCGGGTAAGAAAGAGAAAATCAGTCCTTTGTGGTGGTCATTCCTTCTATGCGGCCCTCACAGGAAAGAGCCTGACACATGACAGATGGGTGACCCCAGCTTCCCGCTCGCGATGCTTGGAGGACCAGAGCCAGTGGGACTTGACATGCAGTGTCTGCCCCTCATCTCTGCAGGTGCCAGGTGTCAGCTGTCCTGTGGGCTAAGATTCAGAGCCCCACATAGTTGCATCTGGAAAATAGTGCCCTATTTGGTCCGCAGTTGCTTGTATGAGATCCAATAAAGGAGACATTTCAGAGCCCTCTCTTCACTACTGAACAGGTCTTTGTGGACGTGGAGGCACCTTTACCATAAGATAAGGAACCAGCTATCTAATGACTGGCCATTGCCCCCAAGGAGCTGGTCGTCATAGCCCACGTGGCTCAGAGGCTCAGGGCTAGAAGAGCTGTGTCCAGGCTCCACAGGACTCTTCGCCCACTCAGTAGTCTTCTGCAGAAAGTCATGCCGAATAAGGCCATAAATGACCTTATTCTCATAAATGACAGTGAGCCATGCTGTGTTTTAGCTTCGTTTGGGGCCAGGTGGGGACATAAAAAGAATCTATGACAAGATTCCTAAAATGTACTCGGCAGTATGTCAGGATTCTCTAAGGTCCTAAGGTAGATCTAGGATTGGCAAAGAGGATTTAGGTGGCCATTTCAGATGACAGAGTGACATGCAGCCGGTTAGGAGCACGAACATGAGATTCATGGGCATGTCAGAACTGTCTTCAAGGCACAGCAGAGCCACCTGGTGCTCCTCTGAGCCAGGGAGCAGAGTGCCACGTGGCTCTGCCTTAGATCCAGCCCAAGCTTTGGGCTATAATAAGGCTCCAAGCAGTCTTATCCTGGTCTGTTAGGTTTTGTTTTGTTTTAATTACCTGTGAGAGAGATGAATTAACAGTAGCAACATAGAGTGCAAAAGTTAGGTCTTCTTAGCTTGTAAAACCGCATCCGTGAGTCTGCCCTGAGTCTGAAGCTGGATAAGAATATGGTCAGTATGTACTGTTCTTGAAACCATTAACATGACTATGTGATTTTCATTCCTTAGTGTTAATTTGACAAAATGTTCTCTGTTTTTTTTTTTTTTTCCCTTCCATTTCCTCCATCCTTTACTCTTAACTGTCTATAGTTCTTCCTCGGCAATCAGGTATAGTGTGCCTTGCAAACATACTTTTTGGTGGAAATGGTCTGTGTGGCTAATGCTGCCTGTTCTTTGCTATGGGGAGAGGACATAATCTGAAGCATGCCTGGGTCACATCAGGTTGTCTTACCAAGCGGAGAAACTGCTAGCCGGGCAAGTGTTCTAAAGCTGTCTTCAAAGAAAAAGATACAAGTGTATATAATTTTCCATTCAAAATTTGATCAGCTAAAGACAATATTTTGCTGGGCTGCATTACAAGTACATAGTATGGTTCCAGGGAAGTCAACTGTGATATCAGTCTATCCCACCTCTGAAAGAGCCCAGTCTTGTCCTTCTGTTTTGGAAGTCAGAATATCAGACAGCACAGTTCTGACTTACACCCAAGTCTTTTGACCATTAACACAGAATTTGCAATGCACATTAAGTCAAAAAAGTCTTGGGATATTTAAGGTACTCGTTTTAATACCTTATTAATATTTTAGTTATTTGTACTTATATTTTATAATTGTAAGGTATGTGAGAAGTGTAGTGTGGAATCATACTTGGCTGTAGCCTGAAGTTTGCCAATTATGGCCAGCTAGTATGATCTAATGGGATCAAATTAGACTTGCAAAGAAGATTGAATGCTTTTGACTCTGCTTGGTAATTCTAACCTTTTAGATCTTTTTGAGGGCTCTGGGGTCCTATGTCTTTAAATGGAAGGAAGTTGCATGGGTAAAATTTGTCTTGTGAAATGAAATCAGAAACACTTGGTGGATTTGAGGCCTTCAATCAATGTTGAGTTCCAGGCACTGCCCTAACCACTAACTATAGTAACATTCTGGGCCAGTGGGAAGAACAAAGGATGGAAAGAAAATGAAAACAAGAACAGCCAAACTGACTTTAAATAAATCATTGCAGAAGAGTGGCAAGTAGCACCTAAAGGTCGGGCCTGTTTGCTAATGACTACCTGTGGGTACAGGGCCCCTTTGAAGTGGCACCGATGCCCTCTACTCCACTGACCGGCGAGGGTCAGAGGAGTCCCTTCCAATGTTGGGAACAGAATTATGAAGTTCATTTTGTGCACGAGGCACCTGAGGCCTTAAGGACCTCTGTGCCCACAGTCACATGGGGAATAACAGAGCCATGACCCAGGTCACTGTAAGGGATTTTCCGTTTAAGAGAAGGAAACAGAGCTTACTGTTGTCCCTAAGACTGTCCAGAGGTCCTTGCTTCTCTGGCAACCCTTCTCTGCCAGATTTGTGCTGATCCCTGTTTGTAGAGATGTGGTAGTCCCTTCCACACTCACCACTCTGGCCTCAGCTTCCCCAGCCACTTTGGCCTCTGCCTTGGGTCAAACCTCCTTTTCCCCATAGCTCAGTAAAAGCAAGTTAGAATATTTCAGAGAGCTTTGGTAAGAAATTAAGGGGAAAAAAGAATGAAATCAGTGCAAATAGGCTGCCAAATCATCATGTCATATTGACGGGGCACAGCAATCTAAGAATATAGCTCAGCTTGGGGTTCATTCCTGATTGCCTCTGGGAGACACAGAGCTCCTTTCCTTCTCCCCTCACTTACCCAGAGAAGACCCCGTATCGTGACGCAAGCTGACATTGCCCTCGGATCTGATGGAATCCTCGGTGCCTCCCTGCTCCCACTCACAGGGCCAGTGTCTGCGGGCAGCTTCCTTCCTGGGACAGGACATTCTTTCCCTCACATTTCTGGTCCCCACTTCAGTGCTCCTCACACCACACCATGCTGTGGCTGCAGTCACTTTGTATAAAAACCTATAACCTGTGTGAGATGAAAGATGAAGGGTGATTTTTATTTTCAAAGATAAGGGCTTGGGTTGGGGGTGGTATTTTTTTCAATCACCTTGCCTATATAAATTAACAGTGAACTTGAGTGAGTGCAAGGTCATATGGAGAATTACCACAAAAATACTGATTTTGAGAGAAGTTGATTATGGATCCTTCTCAAACATCCTTTCTGGCATTTTCAAATTTTGTGCCCTGTTTCAAAGTTATGGTTCTCCTTTTAACTTTGAAAATCTTAAGTGATTGAATTCTCCCCCCAACATTCTCTTTGAATTAAACAGTTTTAGGAATTCCATTTCTCCAACCATATGTTTGATTTTTGTTTTGAGATCTCATGATTCTCTTCTGTTGCCTCTTTATTTTGGGAAGAGGCTAATTTATGCGATAGGAAACTCCAGATGTTGATAGGGTTGGGAAGCTGGCATATTTGGCAGGAAAAAAAGGAAAAATAAATATCAGAAAATCATGCTTGTTTTAATATCTCGAAATGATTGTTGAAAACTACTTACAGTCAGCATGGTAGATTAAAATTTTAATTTCTTCAACTAAATTTTAGTATAAACACTATCTAATCATTTGTTCAAATGAAGAAAATTTTCTGCTGGTGACAATCACAATTCGAGAATATTTAAGGGTTTATTTCTAAAATGATGTGGAAAATCAGATTTCCTTCTAAGCTTTTAATAACGATGCTTTGCAAGGGTTTCCTTGAGACATGAGATATTTGCTGTTTTCCATTTAACTTTTGAGCACACTGTATTCAGAAGCTGACATCTACCTCATAGCTACCTTTTCTTTTATGGAAAAAAAACTAGCTTAACAAAGAATTGTATTACTGGATTTTAATTTGGGCAGCGTCTTTGAAAGACTCAAAGTGAGCTAACGCCTTGTCTGTCCTCCAGCTTCCCCTTTGGGGCAGGGTCACAACCCTTGGAAAGTACGTCAAGACAGTGACCTTTAGCTTTTCCATATTTTAAGTTTTCTGTGAAAAATGCAAAAAAGTGAGAGTTAAAATTTGCTCCACACTGCGAACTTGTCACTCGATCTGAATACAGTCTGCTCCATTAGGGGCATGTCGTCCGCCCTGCCCCCCAGCGCCCTGGCTCACCTGTGTCCTTGGCCCTGCAGTTCGGGGACTCCCAGCAGCTGCGGCTGGTCCGCATCCTGCGCAGCACCGTGATGGTCCGTGTCGGCGGAGGGTGGATGGCCCTGGATGAGTTTCTCGTGAAAAACGACCCCTGCCGAGGTAAGAAGCCGCGCTCAGCACGTTACTTGTCAGCCACGCCCTCACCATTGGTCTTTCGTGATTCCAAAGGGTGCTGGTGGTGGGGTCTGTTTGGTGTCTGTTGTTCAGCTGCCCAGATGTCACCTAGTTAGTGCAGATGGGAACTTGGTCAGGGTGCCAGGGCAGACCAGGGGAGAGAGCAGGAGGGGTGGATGCTATTGAGGGAGACAGGTTTCTGCGAATGCAGTAAATAAGAATTAGGAATTTATTGGTGTCATCAGATATTTCCGTATGAGGTGTTACACTAACACCAGCCTGGAAAGAAGCCCTGAAAAGGCCTGTCGGCTCCCTGTTAGCGCTGCCGGTGACCTTGCCTGTAATTTGTGCGTCTGAAAGTCAGGGAGGGCACTAGGCCCCTCTGGGGACGGGGAGCGCCTTTAACCAGAAGGATGAGGAACACCTGGCAGTGGGCCTGGGCGCTTGTCAGGCAGGGAGTCACCTGAGGGGGCCTGTGAGGTCTCGGTCTGCTTCATCCTACAAAGGCCGGCACACCAGCCCAGAGGCCAGAGAGAACTTCCAGTTGAGCGTGAGCGATGGCACCTGCCGCTGGAGGCGTGTGGGGCCGCGGCCAATGGGAGATGGTCAGATCGGTCGTGTGTCCCCTTCAGCTGCTCCTTCCCTCCCCTCTGTTAGCAGAGCTGCATGTGGGTACGCAGGGGCCTCCCCCTCTCTCTGCCACTGTGTCTTTCTTGACCAGTTTCTGCGTTTCCTGCTGTTTTTTTGTGTTTATGTATTTTTTATTCTAGTGCACCATCCTGGGAGTAAAATAAAGCGCTCTGATTCCAGCTCTTCGATTTCCAGTCAGTCTCCCATAGGTTGGCTTTTAAGCTTTGTCCCTCTTACCCACGTCCTGGCCCGTTGAGAATGGCTTTGCTTTTTAAACTTTAGCATCTCTTGGCTCTGTGACACCTGCTGCCTTTATGAATGCTTCGAAATAGCCAAACCATAGCTCTTCTAACTATTGTAAATTGACAAAGCATAAAATATGCCTGTTGAGACAGTACCCATGGAGTTTGTTCTGAGTTTCTGTTTAACAAATACTTACAGGTTTTTATGCTACACACTATTATAAGCATTTTACCAGTAAAAACACATTTTCACCTCTAGGAGGTGTAGCTACTATTATTATCTCCATTGTATAAAATAGCAAGTTGAAGCACAGAAAAGGTAAACAACCTTCCTGAGGGGAGGCAGCTAATAAATGGCAAAGACAGGGTTCGGATCCAACAGTCTGGCTCCTAACCGATATGCTGTGTGTCTCATGGGCTAATATACCCACCACCACCCCTTCTTATATGTGTTTTACTGCATAATTAAATTCATAAAGCTTACTTTGTAAAGCAAACAGAAATGTTTACCATACTGTTACATCACTTCTTTGGATGTGATTTATTGTCAGAATCTGAAGCATTTAAAGCTAAAGGTCCTGGGACTTCCCTGGCAGTCTGGCAATTGAGACTTCGCCTTCCAATGTTGGGAGAACAGGTGCAGTCCCTGGTTGGGGAGCTGAGAACCCACATGCTTCTGGGCCCAAAATCTAAAACATCCAGAAGCAATATTGTAACAAATTCAGTAAGGACTTTAAAACTTGTCCACATCAAAACAATCTTTAAAAAATAAATAAGATGAAGGTTCTCACATGAATTCAGATATGCTCATAAATTCCTCTTAACTCGTTCTGCATATACTCCAATAAACCCAGAGTAATAATAGGGTAATAGTCTTCATTAGGAATTCCTTTTTATAAAGTAGTTAGTTTTAAAAACACCTTTTCTGATAAAAACTAGAGCAGGTTTAAATCTATTTTAGAACTTAATTATATCACGAACCAATTTCTTTGATATAAAAACCCCTTTGATTGTTTAAAATGAGAAGCAGTATATATGTCTTTTTAACCTTAAGTCAGTAAAGCAAGATTATTCCTTTCCAGATCTATTAATAAGGTTTTATTTTTCATGTCGTGTGTGATTGAACTAAATAAACAAAAGAGAGAGAACTGCATGTGACATTTTGGAATCTTTGCCTGTTTGCTGCCTGCTCTACTTGCTCTGTTGACAGTAACATTGTGCTGCTGGCCAAGGAGAACACTGCTTGCTTTTCCTTATCTTGTTAGCTAGAAATTGGAACCCCCAAGGATATATGGGAGGGCCATCTAGGAGCTATTTTCTATGGAGCATAGTAGCCTTTTTCAGCATCTCTTGGAGCGAACCAGGTAAGGCTCTCCCCTATGCCTTCCCAAGGGTGCCCTCATCCTGACTCCATTCACTATAGAGTTCAGAACTCCTGTTAGTCTCAGATATCATAACTCTACCATGATGGACAGGATGAGCTACATCTCAGCAAATAAAAAGTTGTACTAATAAAGGAACACTTAAGGGCCCAGGCAGATGTAATAAGTGATATTAAGGGCATGAATGAGAAGCTGCCTACGATTCTGTGAGGATTACTATGGAGCTTCTCGAAGCTCCACTTCAGTGGACTTTTTATTCATTTGGGTTGCATTTACTTGGCTGCACCACAGAGAATGTTATTCTGTGGACAGTACAAAATTTATGATATAATACTGATGTTGCATAATCGTGTTATCTGCCTTTACACAGCTGTTTAAGATGATGAAAGCTATCTCAGCCTGCACATTTCTGTAGCCAAATGTAAAGGTTAAAGTAGTCAACTCAGTAGGTTCCTGGTACTGCCAGAATTGGAGATTTCGCTTTCTGAATTGAACCGTGGCAAAGGAAATCATGTTTGGATGGAGATAATACGTGCACATTTACCCTAGGGGTCCAATGAATGTTTGAGCATTAGACAAATTAGTTCCCTGAAATTTTACTGACGATCTAGAAAAACTTTATTGTGAAGATTTAAAAGACACAGTTTGGCTTAGAACTGATTTTTTTATTATATGGTAAAATACATGTAACGTACCATCCTGACCATTTTTAGGTGTGCAGGTCAGTAGCACGTTCACACTTTTGCGCTACCATCACAATCTCCCATCCACAGAACTCCTTATCTTGGTATACTAAAGCTCTACCCATTAAACAATGGAGGTGAATTTTAACTACAGGCCTGTTGCAGCCAAAATCAGTGGCTAGCAGTAGTCTCTTAGAAAAATGATAATCTCTCTAGTGGTTGAAAAACTGAATTTGAAATGACTGCCTTTGGGGTCTGGGCCCCAAGATATGATCTTTAAAAAAAACCCAAAAAGGTCATGGTCAAATGCATTTGTAAGACACAGAGTTAAAAGTAAGCAGGTTTCTTTACTGCAGGACTTCTCAGAGTTTATAAAATGCTGATTGCACTAGGGCTCTCCTAGAGAGAGGAAAAAAAAACGTAGAATTACTAAACTTCTCTTCGTAGGAAACCCCTCAGAAGCCTCAGTTTGGGAAATGCTACTGTAAGCAATGAAAGACCATGGAAAGGTTTTAAACTGTTTAGAGAGATCAGATTTCTATTTAGAAATTCAGTCTGGGAAATGAGGAGTGAGGGAGGGATGGGGTTGAGATGAGAAACACAGAGACCATTTGGAAGCCTGTTACAGTGGTCCAGGTTTGGGGAGATGCTCCATGAACCACATAAGTTTGCGGTGTGCCGGAAGTCTGAGGGGATTCAAGAAGTATTAGAAGGTGGAGTCAAGCCTACATCGACAACCAGCTTTCTGCTTCAGTCATGTCTAATCAGTACTGGATGTAAGGTTCTGGCATCCAGGAGAAGGCTGCACTGAGGATGTACCTGAGAGGCAGGCAGGGCTGGATGATGGTGCTAAAGTCTCAGGTGCATGAGCTCATCACCAGATTGAAAGTCTAAGAGGGAGAACAGGACTGCAGACAGAACCAGGGGGACATCAGCACTGAAGAAGTGAGTGGGATGGGGTAGTCCCCAGGAGGAGACAAGCAGGGGTCCTAGAAGCCAAGGGAGAGTGTTTCAAGAAGAAAATAGTAACTCCCCCACTTGCAAATGACAACAGCAGAGAAGTGTTTTTACCTGTCAAATTTATCTGGTTTTTACCTGTGTACAGGTGACACACATGAGTACACACATACTCTCTCAATTCAGAAAGCACTGGCCAGAGTGAAGTAAATGGAATATATTCATAGCATTATTTTTGAGAGTGTACATTGATGTAAAATTTTGTAGAGCAGTTGCTATTTAGTCGCTAAGTCATGTCTGATTCTTTGGGACCCCATGGCCTATATATAGGGGTCCTCTGTCCATAGAATTTCCCAGGCAAGAATACTGGAGTGAGTTGCCATTTCCTTCTCCAGGGAATCTTCCCATCCCAGGGATCAAACCCACATTTCCTGCTTGGCAGGCAAATTCTTTACCACTGGGCCACCTGGAAAGCTGTAGATCAGTTGACAAATACCAAAAACCTTAAGTGTGCATCCTTTCTCCCCAGCAAATCCACTTGTAGAGACTTACCTTAAAGAAGTCATCATGGATGGGCACAAAAACTTTTTTCAAGTAGTCTGTCACAGCATTGTATACAGCGTGTTAAAAATTATGAACAAATACAGCACAGGGTTGGTGAAATAAACTGATCTCAATATGATGAAATAATACTTTGTAGCTAGCTGAAGTTATGTCAGATACATCAAACATGGAGGAATGTTTCTGATGTTTTTGCATTTTTTATATATGGACATACACATACACAGTTGTGCAGAGGAATAAAGATACTAACAGTTTAATAGTACTGTCCCCTAAGGTTAAGCAGTTTTAATTCTTTGTAGTTTTCTGTAGATTTCAACCTTTCTACAATTTTTTTTTCCTTTCTACAATTTAAAAGCATCCCCTGAGACGGTAGTGGCCTGTGATCCTTGCCAGTGATGGCCGCGGGGAGGGAGGCGGTACAGCCGAGAGTGGGATGAGCTCATGTAGCCGATGATGCATGCAGCCGGGAGTGGGCAGAGAGCAGCTCGGGAGGAAGATAAGGGTTCTGGTCCCAGTTCTTGCATAGTTTTCCCTGCCCTCAGCCTCCGAGTGCTGCAGTCTTCCGTGACGTGAGGATGCTGCCTGGCTACCGAGAACAGTCAAGCATAGTATTTACATGTGATCACGCGCTGCAAACTGCAGAGTGCATGGGGAACATGTTCTTATCGTTGTATTATTGCATTTAACATGTAATTGCCCTCATCAGTGATGCCATTTCAAAGTCTTCCTCTTGTGTCACTGTGTTGTTTTCTGGAGAGTGAGCTCAGTGAACTGTTAAGTCTCATAGGTTTAAACCACATGTCTGAAGTTCTTTCTGGCCTAGGGTCATAAACAACTTCTCTGAGGCATTGTGGTTGGTCCTCAGTTGAGTAATGATTTCCACTTGTCAGTGTTACTTCAGCACTTGCTGTGCATCCACCGTTGTGCTGGGCGTGTTAGCAAACATTAAAGATAAAATAAGTGTTTAGCAATACAGAATGTTATTAAGTACCCAGGTTAGTGCTGAAGGAAATTCTCTTTAAGAATCATGAGTTTAGATACTGAGGGAAGTGCTGGAGTTTGGGAAAAGGATCAGTAGGGAACCAGAGGGCCCAGGAATGAACCTGGAAGGGCATGTTCTGTTGGGGCCTGAGGAGGAAGGAAACAGGTCAGCATTCCAGGAGTGCTGCACCGTCCGACAAGAAGGACCCTTAGACATCAGTCAGCCTGATTGATCACCTCCAGGGAGGCTGAGGAAACAGAGCCCCAGGCAGGAGGGGTCACAGCTGGGAAGAGCCTGGACTGTACCTCAGAGGTTTTGATATCCAGGTTAGCCCTTTTAAGCTGATACTCTGATATGTTATGTCAACTTCACATATTAAAATGAATTTGGATTTGACTTAGGAATTTAAACCACTCTGCTTATGAAGCCTCGTGCAACCTGATTTAAAGTCTAATTCTACCAAGACTCCTCAAATTTCTTGAGGACTTGTCGGGCTGGGCAGGAGAGAGGAGTGTGTACCATTACCTGAAATCTTCTAAACTTGCAATTTCTGGCCAAAGTAAAACATCTTATATAGGGAAGAATGGCAAATAATTTATGGTGGTTCCGTTTTCCCAGGCTTTACTAACGGTCCAGTTTGTTTAGACCTGTCCTAAACAGGGAGCAGCTTGGGGGGTGAATGAGGAGACAGAAGGTGATCACAGAATTAACACCTTTCAGTGAGGAGTGACCTAAGAACACATTGCAGGGGAATTGTTTATTTTAAATTCATAACGTCTTTCACAGTTAATGTGTGTGTTGGCCATATTTGTTGTCTTCTGACCGAATCCAAATGTGGGGTTCTGGTCTGGTGGCTCCAGGAAGCCCCGGGACTCTCCAGCTGACATCCCTCTCCCACCGCAGGTCTGCCTTCAGCTTCTCGTGGCGTTCAGCTTTTGACTCAGTGGTTCCTCACTGGCAGGTTTCGTGCATGGTCTTGATCTCTCTCTCTCCCACATGTTTACTTCTTAACAGTTCAACCCAGATCTTTTTACTGTCCTGAGTCCCTGGACCCCTTTCTTTAGGATTATTATCAACTGAATTCAAGTAGAAGGGTCTAGATCAGTGGTCCCCAACCTTTTTGGCACCAGGGACCAATTTCATGGGAGACAGTTTTCCCACGGAACCATGGGAGGGGGTAGTTTCTGGATGATTCAAGTGCATAACATTCATTGTGCCCTTTATTTCTGATGCCACTCCTGGTCTGATAGGAGGTACCGATCTGCGGCCCAGAGGTTGGGGACCCTTGTCTAGATGATGTCAATTTCAGTGATCTGTTTTTCTGTACTGTTTCAGTACCATGTGTCCTATAAGAGTTGAGCAAAAAGTACACATGTCCTGTGAGAGAGAAAAGAGAGGTTTTGATTTAACCTCAGAGGTTTGTGGACTGCTGCATCTGCTTTCTCTTGACCCAGGGGACAGTGCCAAGGCAAGATCATGACCGCAGCATGGGACGGTGCTTGGTACACAGTTCTTTATTACAGCAAACCAAGGGGTTATTCGCTAATGTGTCTGCTGTGGGTAAGAATCATGACAAGGCTGATAAATCAGGAATATATCTCTATTAAAAGAAGCCACAGATGGTACTAAACCTGTAAATTATATAACTTTTTGTGGGGTCAAGCAGCTGTGTGACCATCAAAGATATATTTTTTCAAGGTTAACTGTCACTGTATGTGTGTGTATTTATTCCCTCTTCTAGCACGAGGTAGAACGAACATCGAACTTAGAGAGAAATTCATCCTCCCTGAGGGGGCATCGCAGGGCATGACGCCCTTCCGGTCCCGGGGTCGAAGGTCCAAACCGTCTTCCCGCGCAGCCTCCCCTACCCGCTCCAGCTCAAGTGCCAGTCAGAGTAACCACAGCTGCACGTCCATGCCGTCTTCTCCAGCCACCCCGGCCAGCGGCACCAAGGTGCGTACAGCTGCTCCCAGCGCTGCGCCTGGCCGTTGTGCAGTGTCGCCTCTGACTGAAGACACACAGACCAGGCTGGCCAGGCCCTGGTGGTACACAGATCTGACCTTTAACATGGCCGCAAAGGACGTTTAAATCGGAATTGAGTCACTCGGTCCAAAGCGCTTCTCTCCACGTATTCCCATTTTGAGTTTGAACCCATCCAGAGTTACTGATCTTGAAAATCCAGGCACTATCTGTGCAGCTGGGGCTAAGTAAGAGAGAAGTTCGTTGTGATGATGGGTTATAGATAAAGAATGCTACTGCTTTTCTGCCTTGGCCCCTTTCATCCTGTTGGACTGATGCACATTTTATTTTGTTTTCTGTTTCTTTAAAATTTAGTGTCTTCTATTTATTATTTATTTATTTATTATTTATTTTATGTTCCCAATTTGCTCCTTTTCTGTTCCACTTTCAATTGTTCCCGTCCTTCCCTTTGGATTTCCGTTTCACAGACTCCACTTCAGTTCTCTCGCTGTTATGACAAACCCTGGTTGGTAAACAGTAAAGCTGGCACCCCTGTCAGGGACAGCCACTATCCTGACCTCCAGCTGCCCAGCCCCGAGGTAGAGTATGGCTTTGCTGACTAAAGACACAGGCAAGACCAGGCCCTCGCTCATGCTGAGAACCTGACCAGCTCTCCCTCCTGACACGAGCCCGTGCTCTTTTCCATCTTTGTGGTGTTTGCTTTCACAGCTGATTCATCCCGTCCATTGTCTTTCAGGGGTTTCTAACTCGGATTCACCAAAACTGGAGATAAATAAGTGATGCCCAAGACTGTATTGTGTAACAACTTCCCAACAGTCCTTAGAATGATATTTGTTCAGAGTGGTAAACAGTGGTCATTCGTGGTGATTTATCAATATTGTTTATAATCAGGCCTCTTGGAGTCTCCAGACGTCATATCTGACACAAACGAGTTATGAACACTTGAAATTCAACAACGGTGCATGTTCAACAGTGTTCTATCTTTGCTTAGGACAGAAGAGTGGCTGGCACCCTCCCGCCCGGAGTCGCATCCCGTGGGTGGTTGGTATTGCCACGCTGGTCCAAGGCTTGGGTGCTGCCTCCTTCAGCCAAGCACAGCATTTGTGAACACTGCTCTGAGGCTCAGGTTTCAGTTTCTGAATTCCTTGGCCCAGGCACTTGGGTTTCTATAGCCTTGATTTGAATACACATGCGAGCAATTCAGCATGTTCAAGTGCAGTCATTAAAATATCCAAGTGCTTTTGGAAGAGCAGTGTTTCAGAAATAAAATGTGGACTAGCAGCTTGTCTGATAGCGGTACAATTGGCACTCTAGCTCTGCCAGAAAACATTGGGTTCTTGTGCCTCAAAACATGGCACTGTGTTTAGTCGTGTAAAGCTTCAACCAGTGTAAACAGGAGGTACAAGAAGCCAGTGTCCACAAATGGACTCGCTTTTCTGGGTTTCATCCCGCTTCAGTTCAGAAATACATCTGGCTTAGAACGTGATCTGGGGACCCACTGACACTAAAACCCCATGATTCAACCTGCCTGTCCTGCTTTTTCTTCTTCAATGGCTCCAGTTTCATGAAAGTCTCAAAAGTTCTAGAATTTTTAATGTTTTAATTATGAAGTGCCAATTCTCATAGGATTCTGATAGATCAGCCTTTCTGTCTTAAGGTTTTACCTTTGGTTTCATTTCATTTCAAGATTTCATCTTCTCTTAAGTACTGGTATTCTGCACACTGTCCTGGCGCAGACTCCCAGCCCAACATCTCTGGGGCTACGTCTGCCCAGCAGCAGTAGCTTCTGAAACTGGTGCTCTTCCTCCTGTGCGGGCCAGGAGGGTTTGTGCTGGAACGTGAATCCCTCTGTCGCTTTTGCTCTTTCTTTATAAAGAAGAAACAACGAAATGGGTTGCTTTACTCTTTTCTTTGTATAAACATCTTAAAAGTCCTGGAAAACAATTTACATGATTGATTTCAAAGAAAAATTAGAAGATCATGCAGTGGCATGAGTGATACTCAGAATAGATTTAAAATATTTTCTCTCCAAATTCTTTTTTTAAAAAAATATACACTCAGATGGGAAATGGAGCTCCTACCAGCATCAGTAATGATAACATACATCTGGCCAGCTCTCTGCCAGTTTAGGAAGTGCTTCTGCATGTGACTGATTCGCTCAACAAGTTTATACTGGGCCCCTTGTCTGTGCCAGATGCAGTATTAGGTGCCTAGGGTGTGAGAGGGAGCAAACAAAGTCCCTGCTCTTCTGGAGTTTCTGCTTTAACCTGGGAGGTTTCAGGCAGCAAACAGGGAGCCTTGCTGGGCTGTTGAAGGGACAGCAGCAGGCCAGTGGCTGCAGTGGACTGAACAAAAGGCAGTGTGTAGCCATGGGGTTTGGAGAGGCAGGCTCCCTCCCTGGTTTCCAGGGCGAGAAGGGAAGGCACACGTGCCAGTTTATGTTAAGTCCAGACCCAGGCCCTTCTGGTCCCAGGCTGCTCCCGAGCCTTGTTCCTCATATCACAGCCCCACTCTCATGTGCTTCTCCTAATCGTTCATTTGATCAGGTCAAGTAATTTAATCTTCATTCTACCAGTGAAGAAATAGATCTACTTCACTGAATTTACTGCATCTTCGTAATAGGGACTAGAGTAATATTTGGATCTCCATGTTAAGAGTTTGGGGTTAGAAGAACTCATATGTCACAGTTCTAACCCCAAAACTTTGATACTTTGGAGTATTTGGATTTCTTACCTTTACTCATTTGTCATATTTCTGTTTGTTTTGACTACTGTAATCTTAGCATTTGAGGATTTTTTTTTTCTAGTAGAAATTTATCAGTAAGATAAAAGGCATTGGAAGACATTTTAAAACCTTTAATTGGCACATGAAGGCTTTATTTTGGAAATGCTCAAAATTCATAACCTAGCATACTTTCAAAATAAATCATTGTTTTCCTGGACTTTTAACTAGCTTTTCAGTTTTTTAGAAATGAGGGCTCGAGTAAACCTGGTAAAGTGGAATTTCTGTCAATGATTTCACCAAGTAAATATGACCTTTTTGGTTTTTTTTTAAGGTTATTCCATCAACAGGCAGCAAGCTGAAACGACCCACACCCACCTTTCATTCAAGTCGAACATCGCTTGCTGGCGATACTAGCAATAGTTCTTCCCCAGCGTCCACGGGTGCCAAAGCAAATCGGGCAGGTAAGGCCCTGCCCCAGCACTTCTCCACTGGGGATAAGGGCGAGGGGCATGGCCAGGCTGGGAATCTGGAAACAGCAGCCTCTCGGCAGCGCTTCACTCCTCTCTGGGGAGCAGAGAAGGAGAGAAACACAGGTGCGGTTCCCAGAGGACAGCTGGCTCAAACCTTGCCTCCCGGGAGCAGGCGCTCCCACAGCCAAAGCCACAGCACCTGTTCGTCATCAGAAACGATTGTACAGGGGAGAATGTGAGAGAGGGAAGGGCCTCCTAACACACCGTATTTATGTCTGCTGGGAGCTGAGAGTCAGGGGAGGGTCACGTCTGCTCACCTGTGGACGTTCCTCCTGGGAACCCAGGGCTTTGGCTTCCACTTGCTGCTCTCTTTGCCGGCCCTCCTCCCCCTGGTTCTTAGTCCGCCGTGTGGCTCTCTCCTCCGAGCCGAGGCGCCAAGGCAGCCCCGCTCCACTCCGCCACGGGGGCGTGTGAGGCGACAGTGCTGCTGAGAGAAGCTGCTTTCAGGTCCTCAGGACGCTTCTCAGGTAGAAGCACAAAGTCAGAAAAGGCTTCGGCAGCTTCTGTGTAGGTGAGAGAACCGAGATTCAGAAAGACTGGTTTGCCCAAGGTCACTCAGCACATCAGGTGGTATTAGGGTCAGAACCCTGGCCTCTGGTTCTCTTGTTCTCCACACCACCACCACCATGCCCTCCGCCCACCCACCAGTGCTGTCTTTATTAAGTCTGCCACTTTATTCTTAAATTCCAGACCCTAAAAAGTCAGCCAGTCGCCCTGGGAGTCGAGCTGGGAGTCGGGCCGGGAGTCGAGCCAGCAGCCGTCGAGGAAGCGATGCTTCTGACTTTGACCTTTTAGAGACACAGTCTGCGTGTTCAGACACTTCGGAGAGCAGTGCCGCAGGGGGCCAGGGCAGCTCCAGGAGGGGGCTCAACAAGCCTTCCAAAATCCCCACCATGTCCAAGAAGACCACCACTGCCTCCCCCAGGACTCCGGGCCCTAAGCGATAACACTGTACAAGCACCCCCAAGCCTCTCTCCACTTTGAATCCTGCTCCATGCATTGGGTGTATATTTATTCTGAATGGGAGAAGTTATATTGTTAAAAGTGTAAAAGAATAATTGTGTTATGAAGCTGCCTTATTTTTTTTTCTTTTTGTAAGTTACTATTTTCATGTGAATATTTATGTAGATAAAATTTGCCTCCTGGTAACCCTGTAATGGATGGGGCCCAGAAATGAAATATTTGAGAACAAGCAAAAAGGTCAAGATGCAAATGTGTATTAAAAAAAAAAAAAAACCTCTAAATAGGGTTTCTGCGCGGTGCAGGGTTGTAAACCTGCTTTATCTTTTAGGATTATTCCTAAATGCATCTTCTTTATAAACTTGACTTGCTGTCTCAGCAAGATAAATTATATTAAAAAAAAAAATAATCCTGCAGTGTTTAGGAACTCTTTTTTTGTAAATCACAGACACCTCAATTAGTGAGAACCGAGGGGAGGGCACTTCTGATTGCTTTTTCCATTGTTTTTAATGTTGTGTGATTTTAGCTGAAGAGAGGGAACCTCATCTAGGTAATGTTTGCACATGATACAGCAAAAGGAGTTCATTGCAATACTGTCTTTGAATACTGTTTCAGTACTGGGTGTTTAAAGGACAAATAGCTGCTAGAATTCAGGGGTAAATGTAACTGTTCAGAAAACGTCAGAACATTGGGGTTTTTAAGAGTCCTGGTTCATAACTTCCTATCCAACCTGGTCACTAATAACTCCTGTGCTCACTGGGACCCAGGCCGTCAGCAAAGGGAGATTCCCTGGTGGCATCTTGAATTACAGTTTGTTTATCTGCATTTTTTGCTATTTATTTAAAATGGCCGATCAACTTCCCACAAACTGAGGAATGAATTCCACGAGCCTATTCTGAAAATGTGGACGTAAAACAAACACTCGCTCGTCCTTTAAAAGAGTTCACCAGCACACTTGTTGACAAGTCCCGTTTGCTTCCTCTGTCTTTTTTTTGTGCGTAATAAAGTCAGCTGACCCAGTGACCATGAAGAGGGGCTGTCTGGGGCTCCTGATTTTTAGCTGCTGTTCCTCTTCAGCTCCGACCATGTTGCTGTGTGATTATCTCAATTGGTTTTAATTGAGGCAGAAACTGAAGCTCTACCAATGAACTGTTTAAAAACAAGACACACTTTTGTATTAAAATTTGCTTGCAGTAACAAATATTTTGTATTTCCTGCCTTTTTTTTCCTCAACCATTACGTTATATATAACATATTACTCTGGGGAATGATTGTGTTTTAGCTACTTCAGTGTATTATTCAAATCCAGATATCTTGGATAAATTATGGAGCTCAATAATTTTTTTCTTGTATATCTTATTCTCATTAATTTCATTTAACAAGGGGACAAAGAAATACTCAGACGGTTGTTAATGTAAATCTGTAGGGCTATCTACCCCACTTAGATTATTAAACAAATAACCAGTATGTAAGATTTCTGTTGTAGAAATCACAGGCCTTAGAGCTTCAGAATATGGGCCAGTTTCCCACAGTATGCTGAAATTTCCGGTTAAATGGTAGAATAAATAGGATTTCAGAGGTAGAAACAAAAGTGGTCATCAAATCTAGCTCCTTTGTTTTATAGACAGAAACAAATGGGAAAGTAAATGAGAAGAAAGTAATTTTCCCAAGATCACATAATAAATAAACGGCAGAAGTGGACCTTGAATCTAGTCCTTGGCTTCCTATCCAAGCCTGCCAGTTCTTTTCCATTCAGCCCCTGGTTGGCTTTATAATAATTAGAACAGCCAAATATTACGTAACTCTGACACAGGAATTAGACTAGGAAATAACTAGAGAACTTGAGAGGTAAGAGGGATTCATCCTCCGCCACCTTGCTCATTGGGTCACACTCCCCTTGTGATACAGGAATTTGGTAAGAAGGACACATGATTGCCAGAGCTGTTTGAGGCCAGACATCCAAATTAAAAGGGATGTGCAGCCTGGCGGATTCTGAAGCAAGAGCTTACTTAGGCGAGAGCTTGCTTACTCTGTTCTCTGTGGAATCAAATTTAACTTCAGGCTGTTGGAACTTTGTAAGAAGGTCTTTTTACTCAAAATCTGCTTACCCCTCTAGACTTCCTAGCTGCAGAAGCATGCTGGAAGGAGCTTGATCTCCATTTTCTCAGAATCTGGACCACAGTCACTTGTTTTTCTTACCAAGGAGTTCAGGGTTTCCCTCAGTCTTTGCAACAAAGTTCAGCTAGGGTGCACTCTGCAGAAAGTGCATTTCCATTCAATAAACACCTGTGTGCAAGACCATGTGGGAAATTTAGGGATGACAGGGAAGGGGTTAAATCTGCAGTTCTGTGACACAAGTGCTAAACAAGTAATGCAGACTTGGTGTCTGCTAGGATAGAGGGCAGGTTCTAGAGCCTTGAATAACAATAGCTAACATGTATTGAGTGCTTGCTGTGTGCCAGCTCTGCTAAGGCTCTATGTACATTCTTACATAATTCACATCATAATCCTGCAATCATGAGCCTCACTTTTAGATCAGGGACAGCCTGAGAGAGGTTCAGTGACTTGCCCAAGATCACAAAGTTGCCAAGTGTTTGGGGAGGCCCTTGTTTGACCGGACTCTGGACATGGAACAACAGGCTGGTTCCAAATCAGGAAATGAGTAATGTCACCCTGCTTATTTAACTTACATGAGAGTACATCATGAGAAATGTTGGACTGGATGAAGCACAGGCTGGAATCAAGATTGCCGGGAGAAATATCAATAACCTCAGATAGGCAGATGACCCTTACGGCAGAAAGTGAAGAAGAACGAAAGAGCCTCTTGATGAAAGTGAAAGAGTGAAAAGCTTGGCTTAAAACTCAACATTCAGAAAACTAAGATCATGGCAGCCGGTCCCATCACTTCATGACAAATAGATGGGGAAACAATGGAAACAGTGACAGACTTTATTTTGGGGGGCTCCAGAATCACTGCAGATGGTGACCACAGCCATGAAATTAAGACAGTTGCTCCCTGGAAAAAAAGTTGTGACCAACCTAGACAGCATATTGAAAAGCAGAGACATTACTTTGACAACAAAGGTCCATCTAGTCAAGGCTATGGTTTTTCCAATAGTCATGTATGGATTTGAGAGTTGGGCCATAAAGAAAGCTGAGCGCCGAAGAATTGATGCTTTTGAACTGTGGTGTTGGAGAACACTCTTGAGAGTCCCTTGGACTGCAAGGCGATCCAACCAGTCCATCCTAAATGAAATCAGTCCTGAATATTCATTGGAAGGACTGATGCTGAAGCTGAAACTCCAATACTTTGGCCACCCGATGTGAAGAACTGACTCATTTGAAAAGACCCTGATGCTGGGGAAGATTGAAGGCGGGAAGAGAAGGGGACAACCGAGGATGAGATGGTTGGATGGCATCCCCGACTCAATGGACATGAGTTTGAGTAGACTCCCGAGAGTTGGTTATGGACAAGGAGGCCTGGCATGCTGCAGTCCATGGGGTCACAGAGAGTTGGACACGACTGAGTTGGACTGGACTGAACTCTCCAAGAAACCTTCCCCATGTCAGTTCCCCTCAAGTTCAGGAGTTCCAAGATGCCACTCACAGATCACCTGTCCCCACTTTTTCTGCCCTTCCAGACACTTTGCTGGCCCCTCTGTCAGCGAACAGCCTCCATTCTGCCTTCATAAAGACTTTCACTCGTGAGCCCTGAAGGCCACTGGAGAGCCGGAAGCTGGGCATCTTCACCCCTGGCTCAGGGCACAGTGCAGATCAGCACCCAGTGGTTATGGGAATGTGAGGCCATCGTTTCAAGAGCACAGCCATCTCCACTCATCCTCAATGGAGATAATTTCCATTACAAGAATCAGACCAGCACTGGGGCTGCTTGCAGTCTTGCTGGGAGGCCAGTATTATACAGTACACAATGGGAGGATTACAGGCTAGATCTGAGGCCCCCAGTGACATACGGGCTCAAAGAGGAAATGCAGAGGGAAGCCCAGGAACATAGGGACGAGGAAGAGGGCAGATTTCATAGACCCTGACTAAGTCTGACAAGGGGATACCCCCAACTCTGTCCCCTACCTCTGCATGCGGAGTCACCAATGGGTTCACCCTAACAGCCCTCCATCCCATCTCTATTAAAGGATCATTGTTGTCTTGACCCCTCGCATTACTGTACCTGTCTCCAGCTGTAGGTCCTGAAGCCATACTCCCTCCAATCCATAGTCCCCTCTGCATCCAGCCTCTGGTCAGGTCCTGGGCACTCTGAATGGCTAGTCTGAAGCATTCTTACCGGGTTTAGCAGTCTTATAGAGATTTACCTGTTGGGTAAAAGGAAAACTAGGCATGGACTTAAGACACCAGCAAGTGACTGGATTTAAGATTTGATATATTTTAAAGTTTGCAGTGATCATGGGGAAATCTGAATTTCATTGGATAAAATAAATCATACATATATTTTTGAAGTTTTATCTTGAACCCACATTGGGGCGCCATAACCATCTGCTATCCAGAGACCTCACCTGCCCACTTGCCCCCCAGTCTCTCCAGGCTTCTCTGAACAGCTCACTCACGTGCTCACCTACTCCAACCCAGCTCCACTGCTGTGTGACTTGGGGGAAGTCCCTTAACCCCTGGGTGCCTCTGTCTCCTCATCTGTTAAGTGAGGTGGGGAATGGGGGGTGCAACTCCCCTATAACAAGGTGTGATCAGGAAAGAAATGACACAGAACATGGCTGGTACACAAACAATGCTAACTATCATCTGCTGTCGTTATGCTCTTTGGAGTCATGGCCTTCACACAAGCTTTTGCTTCTACCTTGAAACACTCCACTCCTAACCAATTCATTCCGGCTTTCACAGCTCACTTTACCTGTCTCTTCCTCCCCGGTGGCTCAGACGGTAAACCGTCTGCCTATAATGCGGGAGGCCCAGGTTTGATCCCTGCGTCGGGAAGATCCTCTGGAGAAGGAAATGGCAATCC